AAGAACAGATCGGCGGCTGAGGTCGTAAAGGCAGTGCTACCAGTGCTACGAATACGGCCATATCGCGAAACACTGCAAGAAGACGGCGCGTTGCGGCGTCTGCGCTGCAACGGCACACCCAGGGGGTGAAAAAGACTGCCCCGAGAAGGCACCTAGCGGCAAAAAACGTTGTGTGAACTGCAAAGGGAAGCACACGGCGTGGGACAGGGACTGCCCTACGGCAGAACAGCAGCGGCTACGCGTACGCGAGGCGTACGCTCACCGCCCCCGACAATTTGAGGTCCGCAGCTACTCGGACGGGTTATCTAGTGAGGGCAGGCTCACACCACCTAGCTCATTGACCAGCGACGGGTTTACAGTTGTACGACCCCGGGGCCGCCCCCTGGGCGGATCGCGAGTGGAGCAGGAGCGAACCGAACGGTCTGCGTCAGCAATGCGTAGCTTCCTCACTAAGGGACGTACGAACGAAGATATACCATCGACAGCTTAATGGTAGTCTCTATTCTGTACTGGAATATCGCAGATTCAAAGGCGAACGCAACGCTAGCGCTGGATAAGGGGGGTGACTATGATATAATAGCGGTTCAAGAGCCATGGATCAACCGGCGGACGAAGGCGATTTATTGCCCGAGGTCGTCCAGGTACGAAGTAGTGTACAGCAGCGGCAGAGCTGCGCTATACGTCCATAAACGATACGACGTGGCTACGTTGTGACCCCGTACCGGGATGGACTGGAGCAGTATTACGTTCGGGGCAGGCCCGGACGCCCTTACAATCTGGTCTATCTATTCACCAAACCAGACCGGGAGCCGCTGGGTCAGCCCGCTCCAAGACCTCCATAATGGGGCGCCGGAGGGGACACAGGTCCTCGTAGGGGACTTCAATACACATCACCCGCTGTGGGACGTCCACGGACGGTCGTCACGGGGCAGCGACAACGTAGTGGAGTTTGCGCGACGCTGGCGATTAGAGCTCGTTACGCCGTTCGGGGAAATCACACGGCAAAGGCACAAACAACGAGACTCAACTATCGACCTAGCCTGGGTGACGAAAGGGGCTAGGATTGATTACGATGGGGACCCGGGCCTAGAGGGCTCAGACCACAGAGCGCAAGTGATTAGGGTAATATCCAACGGGGAAGCAGTCAAGGAGGGCCGCCGCAGTGTCGAAGGGTGGAACTGGGCGATGGCGGATAAGTGGCTCATCGTAGCCGAATCAAGCCAGAGATTTATGAATTATTTGCCGGTTGAGACGATAACGGAGTTGGACCAGGCTGTTGACTGGGTTATCCGGAACCTCCAAGAGATCGCCGACGTGGCGGTCCCGAGACGCACCGTTGGCCGAGGCGCTGAGACGAAGAGACGACGGCGGGACTACCTCCAGGCAAGGTCGCAGACCAACTGGGACGAATATACAAGAGCCGGCCAAAAACAACGGCTCGAAATCAGCGAAGCGCAGACGCGTAGCTGGCACGAGAAGCTCGAGGGGACGGCGAAGGATCACAAAAGCCTGTGGGCACTGCAGAGGTGGGCTAGGCTACGGAGCTGGGCCCCCCCTGAGGCCCACGGCTTGCCAGATCTCCGGAGGGACGCCGGCGACACGCTTACGGCACGTACACATGATGAGAAGGCAAAATTACTAGCTGAGAGGTTCTTCCCAGACCCGTGTATAGATCTATCGGACCTCGATCGCGGCCTATTACAGACGAGACCAGAGCTGAACGTCCCTAGGGAGGTGACCACAATGGATATCGAGTCTATCATCAAAGGAACGGCTGCTCGGAAGGCTCCCGGCGACGACCTGATCCCCACTGGCCTGCTAAAGGCCTGCGGTGAACCCCTATGGGAGATCCTAGCGGATCTGGCAACAGCTAGCTTTAGGCTGGGGTACTACCCGGAGCGCTTCCGCTCAGCGAGGGTGGTTGTTATCCCTAAGCCTAATAAAACGACAGCTCAGAAGCAGACCCCTGGCGGCTGGCGCCCCATTGCCCTGCTTAGCACGGTAGGGAAGGTAATAGAGACGGCGATGAGCCAGCGTATCACCAAAGTAGCTGAGGCGGCCGGCCTACTACCAAACGGCCAAATGGGTAACCGCGCTGGGAGGTCCACCGAACTGGCAATACGTATAGTTGAGGACGTGGTCTATACGGCGTGGAGACGCGGGGGCATCGCCTCGCTGCTACAGCTAGACATCAAGGGGGCATTCGATACGGTCAATTACAGACGGCTGATTTCCATATTAGCCCGGAAAGGCTACCCGGAGTGGGTTCAGGAGTGGGTACGCAGCTTCGTGGAGGATAGGACGGTACGCCTCCGGTTCGATGGCAAGGAGTCAGAGCCAATCCCCCTACGAGCTGGCGTCCCCCAGGGGTCACCGCTATCCCCGATACTGTTTATATTATACATTTCAACGCTGTACGAGGAGCTAGCGGAGCAGCACCCACTACTTTTAGTAGTCGGGTTCGCGGACGACACGAACCTGCTAAGCGTCGGCACCGATCCAGACACGACCTGCCGCCGGTTGGAGGGCGCATGGGCTACGTGTCAGCGGTGGGCAGTGAGACACGGGATGGAGTTCGCCCCTGACAAGAGTGAGCTAATGCACTTTAATAGGGCCCGAGAGCCCTTGCCGCAAAGTATTCGCCTTGGGGACGCCACAGTGTCGCCGATAGTCTCAGAGAGGTTCCTAGGAGTCTGGTTCGACCGCAAACTGACGTGGCACGCCCATGTTGACCGTGTTAAAACAAAAATGGCAACTCAAAAGCTAGCCCTGACAAAGCTAGTCAATATGTCGTGGGGCTGCGATCTTATACGGGCGAGGCTGTTACATACGGCGGTTATCCGTAGCGCGATCGCCTTCGGAGCGACTGCGTGGCATAATATAAGTGAGGAACCGGCAGGGCCAGCTAAGGGCCTGATGGGGATACAGAACGAGTGCCTCCGGGTAGTCTGTGGCGCCCACAAAGCGACGCCGGTTCGCCACCTGGAAGCAGAAGCAGCAATCCCGCCACTAGACCTCTATCTTAGTGCCCGGGCTGCTAAGTTTGAAGAACGGCTACGGCTTAGCGGGAAGAGAAATCTGCTTCGCAGCGCGAGCGCTAAAGCGTCACATATACTCCGGCAGGATAGGCAGGCGAAGAGGAAGCAAGCGTCGCAGCTACTCCGACCGGCAGGGTACACTATGGAGAAGGAGGCCCGGGGCTCTGAGTGGATGAGTGAGGAAAAGGAGGTCCCGGCTGCCCTCCTCGGCCACTGGAGGAAGAGATGGCTCACCGGAGCAGAGCATCACGATCGCCAGCGACGCGCTATCGCTGAGGAACCGGAGGGCCCTTCGATGCAGATACCGAAAGGGGGCAAGTATTTCGGCCTGAACCGACTGGAGGCGTCTACGCTGTGCCAGATCAGGACGGAAAAAATAGGACTAGCAGCCTTCTTATTCAAGACAGGGGCTTTTGGCGTGTACTCGCCGCTATGCCGCTGTGGCGACACCCCTGAGACGGCAGAGCACGTAATCCTCTTTTGCGGGCTGTTGGAAGGACCGAGGGAACGATTACGGGCCGCTATCGCACCACGGCCACTATACTCTCGCAGAGACCTCGCAACGGCAACAGGAGAACCAGTAGTTAGTGGGACTATTGTAAGATGGCTGCTAGGGACGGGTCGGACAGCTTCAAGGCCCAGATAGCATCGATCTTCTCAGGGGAGACTTTTTGTTGGTAGGTTGAGAACCAACGTAGTATGATAGTGAACGCAACGCAGTCGCCAATAGGGCGAACCGACGACGCAGCGTATGTATGTAGTCCAGCCATTAGCGCACGGTTTGACATACGGGAGTACTGGTAGAGGTACCGGGGGCTTCGAGCCTACGGCGTATTTAATAATAATATTTATTTAAGCGAAAGGGTGATGGGGCATGTTAACAAGAAAGAGACCCGGGATGAAAATTACCAAAGGTATTTTAGGTTGCTAGCAAAACGATCAAAGCCCGTCCGACTGTCCAAGGATATGAACACATTGATTAAAACGCCACGAGAACCTCACAATTCCACCCACTCCGAACCAACCAAGTCGGGCTACTGGTCTTCAGCCCATTCCCTGGAAAATAATAGAATATAAAGCAGACAGCCTGTAAGGAGTTTCTATTTGCGAGCTTGCATAACTAGCATACATTTGTACCGCAGCATGATTGCCGCTGGAGGGGGGTCGCAGTCCATGGGAAGTCCGGGAACGGTCCAGAGGCTCTGATAGTCCCACGACCCAAGAGCAAAATGACGAATTCTAGGAGTAACACAAGACAATATTCATCATTTCAGGCACTAAAAAATGGCTAGCCAACATTTTCCCCTTCCTTATCTTCACGAAAGTACGACTAGACTAGTGTTTGAACAAATTTGTTGGCTAATATGGTGTCATGGTCAATCCCTAGACAGTGCAAGTGAGGATTAGCCGTCGAAAGCCGTGTAGACAAAGTTTTGATGACTTTATCAGGGAATAATACTTGACAGCTAAGGTTAGCACTGAATCAGCTAATATAAACCACGTCACCCTGGCCTAGAAAATATAACAAGCTAACGTTCAAAAGCTGTGCGAACTTGATAAATTGAAACCACCATACTAAAGGCGAAACGTTATCCGGGAAAATAATAAACTGCACGTGGTATTCAATGTTAGTGTTCGTAATTCGAAGCGCGCAGTTGACCAAGTGAATTTTGGATATCTATGTAGTAGATTAAGTCGAGAAGGTGGATTCTAGGATAGCCCCTACACAGTTGCAGGATCATCGTAGGCAGATTCTGCCGGGGTTTACCGCCTTCCTATGACATCAGCTTCGCGTCTTGCGTTGCAACAGGGGTAGACATAACCTGTATCCATCAATTGCTCGTGCCTCCCCACGAGCATGTTGACGTGGCGCCCTCGGTGGCGCCCTCGCACGACGTCTCTGCTCACCTGAGCTCAAGCCGAGCTGAGAAGCAGCAAACCGACTAAAACAGCCTTCGAATAATGTCGTCGCAGCGTAACCGCCCGCGGGGCCCCAATCGCAACAGCGAGGGCATCCACGGCGAAGAAGTGCAGCTATGGGAGAGCTGCAAGACCAAGATCCAAGGCGTTATCGACGGTTTTAATGAGAGCAGCGACAATGTGCACGAGATCCGGGACCAAGACCAGCGCATGGCTGAGAAGCGCGACACCAAGGGTTTCGGCAGCGTTGCCACGGCCGACTTCAGCGTTCTCGACAATTTACTTCGCAAGGGTGTCAAGATCAACGACGCCGAGGCTCAGAAGCTGCAGGGCATAATTGAGGAGCTGAAAGTCGTGCGCGCTGTCGTGAAGGCCAAGGAGGAGCAGCAGGAGCAATCGACGTCGCGCGCTTCAGCCCAGCGCGCAAAGGAGGCCTCTGCTGCGGCGTCTTCGTCCGTGTATGACTTCGATGGAGCGGGCGACTCCCCTGTCCCTTCGCCGAACCCGACCGTATCGAGGCGCATGGGAGGCAGCGTTGGAAGTAAGGGCGACCGCGACTCGGTGCCCCCGAAGCTCGACCGCTCGACTCCCGCAGCCAAGGCTGGTAGTGCTGAGCCACAGTCCGGGACCTCCAACAATCTAGCCCGCTCCAAACAAACTTTTGCACGGGGCGATGAGGTGGCATTCAAGCCCAAGCCAACGGCGAACGAACAGACGGACTGGATACTTGGTATTGTGCAGGGCGAGGGTAAGAGTCGTCGGTACAAGGTTCTCGACGCCGACGTCGACGAGGCAGGCAACCAGAAGGACTTCCGGACGAGCGCGAGCAGCATGATCCTCATACCAAAGGAGGGGACGGTGCTGCCGAATCTAGAGAATGGCAGGGTGGTGTTGGCGCTGTATCCTAACACGACGACGTTTTACAAGGCTGAGGTCATGGGCATGGATGAGGGGAAGGTCAATTTGAAGTTTGAAGGCGAGGAAAGCAATAATACAACCCAAGCTGTGCTGCGGCGCCATGTGGTCGAGTATCGGGGATAGCGGCTACGTGATCGATCTCATGGTTAACGCGATATGGAACACCACGGGCATGTTCGCTTCATTAGGTAAGATTATTCATTTGATGGCTTGTGTTTTACCATAGGCAACTGGGGATTGGTGGAGGGGGTAACCAGATAACAGCCATGAAGACTCGAACTCATCCGCAAATGTATGATCCGACGCTCCAAACCCGCAGCTCGCACCGTGCTTGACGCCAATTATATCGTTCTCGCTTGTCTTCCTGTGCAACATTATGGTAGCCGGTGGCAAACCCTGCAGCACTGATCGATGGGGTACCTAGAAGCACCTCCCAAAAGTCTGGGCCCCACCCCAACATTCCGCGACGCGCTCGCTTCCAACTCAAAAACTTCATCAAATGTACCTGCCTGTCAATCGGCCATCAGCAACCATGAAAGCCATCTCCAGGAAAGCTTCTACGCGCGTTATACTGGCAAATCACCGTTATGGCCAGGAGTGGTCGTTGCAAGCGCGTGCGACCATATCTGCGTGGCATAGGTCCGGCCTAAGTATCAGGCCCGGTACGTAGAGCTTTAAATACGGTGCATCGGTCGTTAAAGCGTACAAACGAAACGCAGTTATTTACTTCACACACCCGCCCCTGTGTATCCTGGTCGATCTACCGCACTGGACTCATGTCAAGAATGTCAAGTTCATTGAATTCGTGCCAAGTCAGCTGTGTGGTCAGATCTGTTGATTCGTGGATTGATTGATGATAAGTCTAGGTTTCTATGTAACGCGGTAACAGCGTTGGCTTTATTTCCACTTTTGTGGGGCCTAGGGCCACACCTGTGGGGCTTAGGGCAAGCCACACTCAGATCTACACCCCGCCCGGCCAATCCACTCTAACTAATCGCGGTTGCTGCTATACTATGTATAACCCAGATTATTCGAGGGAAAACCCTGAATCGGCTAGTCTAAGCTATTGAGTGGTGAAGGAACAGCTAGGGTTTCCGCTAAGCCGGTCGACCCCATAGAACGCCTTTCAGAGCTAGAATCTTCACTACTAGCGCTCTCTTCGGAAAATTTAGTCAACTGTCTCGTTAGTTAAGCAAAGGAATAAATATCATCGATTTTAGAAGGGTAGGGAAGTAGAATTAATAAAGGTCTATACAGGTGAAATATCGCGTTGGGTTACGATTCTCCCAGACCAACATTCCTAACTTATTATTATTATTATTAAATACGCCGTAGGCTCGAAGCCCCCGGTACCTCTACTAGTACTCCCGTATGTCAAACCGTGCCCTAATGGCTGGACTAAATACATACGCTGCGTCGTCGGTTCGCCCTATTGGCGACTGCGTTGCGTTCACTACCATACTACGTTGGTTCTCAACCTACCAACAAAGTCCCCCCTGAGAAGATCGATGCTATCTGGGCCTTGAAGCTGTCCGACCCGTCCCTAGCAGCCATCTTACAATAGTCCCACTAACTACTGGTTCTCCTGTTGCCGTTGCGAGGTCTCTGCGAGAGTATAGTGGTCGTGGTGCGATAGCGGCCCGTAATCGTTCCCTCGGTCCTTCCAACAGCCCGCAAAAGAGGATTACGTGCTCTGCCGTCTCAGGGGCATCGCCACAGCGGCATAGCGGCGAGTACACGCCAAAAGCCCCTGTCTTGAATAAGAAGGCTGCTAGTCCTATTTTTTCCGTCCTGATCTGGCACAGCGTAGACGCCTCCAGTCGGTTCAGGCCGAAATACTTGCCCCCTTTCGGTATCTGCATCGAAGGGCCCTCCGGTTCCTCAGCGATAGCGCGTCGCTGGCGATCGTGATGCTCTGCTCCGGTGAGCCATCTCTTCCTCCAGTGGTCGAGGAGGGCAGCCGGGACCTCCTTTTCCTCACTCATCCACTCGGAGCCCCGGGCCTCCTTCTCCATAGTGTACCCTGCCGGTCGGAGTAGCTGCGACGCCTGCTTCCTCTTCGCCGGCCTATCCTGCCGGAGTATATGTGACGCTTTAGCGCTCGCGCTGCGAAGCAAATTTCTCTTCCCGCTAAGTCGTAGCCGTTCTTCAAACTTAGCAGCCCGGGCACTAAGATAGAGGTCTAGTGGCGGGATTGCTGCTTCTGCTTCCAGGTGGCGAACCGGCGTCGCTTTGTGGGCGCCACAGACTACCCGGAGGCACTCGTTCTGTATCCCCATCAGGCCCTTAGCTGGCCCTGCCGGTTCCTCACTTATAGTATGCCACGCAGTCGCCCCGAAGGCGATCGCGCTACGGATAACCACCGTATATAACAGCCTCGCCCGTATAAGATCGCAGCCCCACGACATATTGACTAGCTTTGTCAGGGATAGCTTTTGAGTTGCCATTTTTGTTTTAACACGGTCAACATGGGCGTGCCACGTCAGTTTGCGGTCGAACCAGACTCCTAGGAACCTCGCTGAGACTACCGGCGACACTGTGGCGTCCCCAAGGCGAATACTTTGCGGCAAGGGCTCTCGGGCCCTAGTAAAATGCATTAGCTCACTCTTGTCAGGAGCGAACTCCATCCCGTGCCTCACTGCCCACCGCTGACACGTAGCCCATGCGCTCTCCAACCGGCGGCAGGTCGTGTCTGGATCGGTGCCGACGCTTAGCAGGTTCGTGTCGTCCGCGAACCCGACTACTAAAAGTAGTGGGTGCTGCTCCGCTAGCTCCTCGTACAGCGTTGAAATGTATAATATAAACAGTATCGGGGATAGCGGTGACCCCTGGGGGACGCCAGCTCGTAGGGGGATTGGCTCTGACTCCTTGCCATCGAACCGGAGGCGTACCGTCCTATCCTCCACGAAGCTGCGTACCCACTCCTGAACCCACTCCGGGTAGCCTTTCCGGGCTAATATGGAAATCAGCCGTCTGTAAAATAAATAAATTAATTACGCCACAAAGCCAACAACTTCCGCATAAGTCCATCTCGACACTATTATAGCACATACTATCGGATTGCAACCACTGGGAGTTGCATTGGTACTCCAAAGGTGCGTGGGGGCCCCTAAATACACGCAAATTATGCCGGTTTGGGTACGTACCCCTCTACACCTGAAGCCACAGTTTGGGACACAACATAGAATTCAGTCAATACATCGTAGATGATCTTATTCTGTAAACTTTTAGGGACATTAGAGTGTCATGCATTGCTTTTTCTTTATACGCAATAGCGCTGAAAATGGTATATCTTAGTGTCTGCTAAAAAGCCCCGCGGCTGATAAACCACACCTCCGAGCTGTAATTCCGGGAGTAGCCTCTAAATTTAGCTCGAGAGATCGCGAGTGTCACTTTCTTTATTACAGCCTGCTATAACTGACAAGGTAAATGGCAGTATCAGCCAGCCGGCTCCACGCTGCACTCCATGCGTTGGAGGTCATGCAGATAGCCATCCATGAGGCCTCTTAAGACACTCCAGGCCAGCTTGATATTTGGCTTCTCCATTCAAGAAGACTTCTTGATGGTGAAAGGCTTTGACCACTGAAATATGTCTTCATTTTCCTCGAGTGTGCAGAGAAACCCATACATAGGCTCGGTGCCCAACGAAGTCCACACCGGCCAGGTTAAGGAGAGCGCGTCAACATCGTAGTTAGCTACGCCAAAAGTGTCAGTATAGCAAGGAGACCCGAATATTTATGTGATTCTGAACGTACAGTTGACGAGCCCAGCTTCGGTCAAGCTGTTAGCGTCTTTACCGGCCATCAGATCGATTTTAACCTTGCCGGTATATTTGCCGGAGTTGGTCCATTTGATGAGGAAATCAGTGCCGGCAACTAGTTCTTCATTTTCTATGGGCGTTTCGAAAGCACAAAAGTCGGAGGTCGGCTGGGCAGCCAGAGCTGAAGTGGCGATGTAGAGGATCGAGCTGGCGATGGCGAGGACACGCATTATAACTGTAATGAACGGATGACGTGTATGAATGGTAGAATGGTTGGCAATGTGATAGTTGAAGTGGATGTTATGGGTGAGTTCTTGTTGAGCCAAGTGTCGATCAGCAAAGTTCCACATACTTATATCTGATTTTCCCTCCCTGGGCTAAGGGAGACGTGGTACTCGCAATCAAACAATGAGAGAAAGAATGATGTTGGCTTCACTTCATTTTCGTTCGCTTTCTTTTCAATCACGCAAGATGATGTTAGCCTGTGTCTACAAGTCCAAGTGCTTTCGGACAAAGGGTTGAGGCGACATGTTGGAGTGCTAGGAGGCTGTTGGTCACTGGAAGTATATCAAACAAAGGAAATATCCAAACACGGCGATAACCGTGGTTTGATGCAGAAATACCACCCAACGAGCTATCCGTGCTATTCAGAACGCGTTCATGTCTTTGGTGTCCCATCACAAGAGCCCCTTTCGTCAATGTTGGGAAATAGCGCATATGAACTCGGTTTTGAACACCGAATGAATGGTTTAAGAACTGTTATTAGGCACTTCGCGTTACTAGCAGTCCTATATAGTACTAGTTGTTTTGTTCAATGGAGGCCGCCCTTCACCACGTTTCTGTCTCGGTGGATTGTAGTACCTTAAACCGCCTTCACCGGAATTCCATGAACAACCTTCTCCTGCATCTGCTTCTCATGCTCCTCGGCCAAGACATCGGCAGGGATACGGTCCGGCGTAGAATTGACCAGAACAAGCATTGGACCTAGAGCGGCTGCCATGAGGCCAAATGTGACACAACTGACGGGAGTTCGTAAGCACCGTGCCGGGGAACTAAGCAAGGGGAACGCTTACAAGCCAATGAGAGGAGTCGTTTTGATTTGAGTGTTCATCCCATACGAGATTGCTTGACCAACTGCTTCAAGGCAACTGTCGTAATGTTAGATATTATGCAGGACTGAAGAGACGGATCCGGGGAATGACTTACCGGAATGCGGCCCCATTACGAACATTTGCTGGGACATGGTCAGCTTTGGTCATCAATAGCAATGTGTATCGAACTCTACTAACACTGCGCATCGGTCGCAAAGGATGACAAGAGCCAGTACATGTATGACTGCGACAGCGGCCCCGTCGTCTGCACGAAGAAATACGGAAGGAAAGCTGACGGATACAGTTGTGCGTCCCAGTCGATCTTGCCTGGGCTCGACTCATCGAATCGTACTTGCATGACGATGGACCAGATGTAGACACCCAGGTTGAGGATGACAACGGTGAAGAGGCCGAGCTGAGCTCTGCGGCGCTGGCTGAGGGACTTGATGTCGAGGATGAAACCGAGGCCAAAACATCCAACGCTGAGTTGTTTGTGTCAGTAGGTGGGAAGGCGAGGTTCTCATCACCAACTAAAACCACTTACATGCAGAAAAAAGGCGAGATGAGGGACGAGAGGGCGCGTGAGCGAACAGAGAAGTATGTGCCCAGATAAGTAGACCAGGAGCCACTGCGAATTTGCAGAGTTAGCTCCACTAAAATAGATCTCGGGAATATCACCACGTACCTGTAAAAGAAAGACCAGATAGCCCAAAGAGCCGACAACAGAATCAGCTTGGAGCTCATGGTGAATCGAATTTTCCTAAATTCCTGCTTCGTGCTGAGTGACTCGGAGACGAGAATCCGAGTCCCGTCGGACCTGACGACTCGCTCAAGGGGTGATATGAGCAACGCGAATGGTAATCTGTACCAATTAGTATGTTTCCATCAAGCATGGCTCCTGCTGGAAACGAGAACTTACGCCATGCATTCGATGATCAAAAACGCGACGTAAGTATCGGGTGTAACTCCACCCTCAGCACCTTTGCGGTGGTTCTTCGCCAAGCTAAAAAGATGGTATGCCCATCAGCCATGTGTCCATGAGCTCCTGAGCCTGATGGGACAAGGCTAATAACTCACTTAATGGCACCACCGACCAGTTGTCCGAGGTTTCGAGCAACAATCCACAGGGCCAAATACTTCCCTCGAGCACCGGAGGGTGCAAGCGACATGATGGCTCCAGATTCGGCGACATACCAACAACCTGTACCAATGCCGGTGAAGAAAGCGCCCATAATCAGATACTGCATGAGAGGCAACTGTCAGAGGTCGATCTCTCCATGGCGAGGACTGCGATTTGTACTGACCCACTGGTTTCCAAACTGGCTATTGCAATAGTAAGACGAGCCGCGGATGGGAAACGACATGGCGCCAACGACCAGAGACCACTTGACGCCCAGTTTGTTGACGATTGGTCCACCGAGTAGACACACTGAGGAGTACGTCAGGACATAAAACAACGAAGGATGGCGAAAGAGTAAGACAAACCAGTAGCAAGCAAGCTATAGTTGATGGCGGTGCTATTGAGGGAAAGAAATGTTAATATCTCATGTCACAAAAAGAGATCAAATGAGCTTTTGGGACGCACGCAATATTTGATGTCTGAGGAGTCGCCAGACCACCACCACCAAGACCTAACAACATATTTATTAGCCGAATTCCTTTCCACCAAAAACTACATGAACTCACCCGCAATAGCATCTGCCATAGCAGGTCCACAAAATGCCTGCACGCTCAGAAGCATCATCTGCGTCAAACTATGGTGGTACACCCGGCTCCAAAGGGGATTATCCCGCTGGTACGAGTCCATGTTGACCCTCTCATCTGCATCGTTCGTCGCATTCATGGGCAGCGATCCCCGCGCACGGAGAGCATCGTCGTCTCCGCCGGCGTGGGTGTTGGGTGGAGCGGCGTCGAACTTCGACATCGTGAGCAAGTGTAGTTTCTTCTTACAGCGATGAAGAAGTGCTTGGACTTCAAAGACTGGATGCGTGCAAAGGCGCTTGAGCACGCGGGCAGTAGTAATATTTAGCTGTCGCTACATCCCGCCTATATATGGTGGTCGATTCGGAGTTTTGCCCGAGCGGAGACGGTACTTATCTCTGGTGGATTTGTGATAATCGCGAGTCATTCCTATATCTGGGGGAAATTGATGGATTTGGAGAAGACATGACCATTCTCCAACCCGGGCCGGGATAGGTGGAGGGGCTGGAGTTGACGACCAGGGTGTGTGTAAGTCGTATGCGATGAATCGGTCGCCTGTGGCACAGATACCCTGTCTATCTGTGGATATTTGATAGGCGAGACTCAAATCCTCCGTACCAAGTACTACGGTATCAAGCCAAAGTTTTCACCCCCTTGACAAGTACCAGTGGACCACTGTCAAGGTAACGCTATACTGATTCTTGCCTAGCCTACTCATTGTAACGAAAAGGTACTTCCACCTCTGATTCCAACTTGCTGTTAACGCGTCCTAATTATCGCGTATTCAGCAACTACAATGGGGACTAAACACCTTACAGAAGCGGATCGCCAACGAATTCGAACCCTATATTTCGACGGTGGTAAATCGAAAGCCGAAATTCACACTACTACAACGTTTTCTCTTAATCATATTCAGACAGCTATGAAGGTCCCTTCAAGCCAGGTAGCGAAGAGTTGGCGCGTGCCTAGGTGGGGCACGGTACAAACACGCAATAGAAAACTTACCCATGATACCATAGTATGTAGGTTGCAGCCGCCCACATACGGACCGTATGAATCATGATTGGTTATTTTCGAATCCGTTCCTGGATGATGGGAAGGTCCAGACGGAGAACTTTCGGCTTAGCTCTCCGGAGCTTGTATGTGGGGGGTTTATTATGACAAGGAATGAATGACGAGATGCACATGCTTAATACTATGAACACGCGGAGGAGCTGAATTTAAGCATGCTGTAAGAGACCTAAGAGACGACTTACAGAACTTGGTTTGCATGTTTCGGGTGTTCTTAATATTCGTCATTAGCAATTGCTGTTAGCCTCCGTCTCGGTGTTTACTATCTACGGTACGCAGGGACCTGGACGTAGCGGTCTATCTGTAAACCCCGCAGTCGGACAGAACCACAATAAGACTATTACGAATCCGACCCATGAAAGTAGGCTTCAGGCGCAGCTAGGCTCAACGTCTTTCAACTTTTTCTGCTTCACAAAAGTTCTGTGCTTGCTATTTCACTCACTCCGTGCGCCTCATTTTCCGCCTCAAACCGGCTTCCAAGAAAAGACCAAGATCCAGTTGCTACAACATGGCTGGCAATCGCACAACCATGAAAGTCATTGTCATCGGCGGAGGCGGTACGATCGGTTCCTCGACCGCGCTCCATCTCATCCGTTCCGGCTACACGCCCTCCAACATCACGGTCCTGGACACGTACCCAATTCCTTCCTCTCAGTCCGCCGGGAATGATCTCAACAAAATCATGGGCATTCGGCTACGAAACAAAACGGATTTGCAATTGAGCTTGGAGGCGAGGCAAATGTGGAGAGAGGATGAGCTTTTCAAGCCGTTTTTCCACAATACTGGCAGGGTGTGTCAACGAGACCCCAGACCACGTTTGGCCGTTCTTGCTAATAAGAATTCACCAGCTTGACTGCGAAGGGTCAGAGGATGGCATTGCCTCCCTTCGACGGCAATACCAATCCCTCATCGATGCTGATGTTGGCTTAGACGAGACGAATGAATGGCTGGACACCGAGGAAGAGATCCTGGCCAAGATGCCGCTTTTGCCGCGCAGTGAAATCAAGGTGGGTTTCATGTTCACCATCATAGAGCAATGCATGCTGAATACATCATACCCGTAGGGTTGGAAAGCTATTTTCAGTCATGATGGGGGTTGGCTTGCTGCAGCCAAGGCAATTAACGCCATAGGAGAGTTCCTGAAAGACCAAGGAGTCACTTTTGGATTTGGCAGGTGAGTCAGAGCCCTGTTAGTCTCCTGGCTTCTCTAGGAGTTTGCTGATTTTCGAACGCAGTGCTGGATCCTTCAAGTGCCCCCTTTTTGAGGACGATGGTACAACATGTATTGGTGTTGAAACGGAGGATGGCACAAAGTATTACGCCGACAAGGTGGTTCTGGCTGCTGGAGCATGGAGTCCGGTGTTAGTAGACTTGGAAGACCAATGCTGCTCAAAGGTAAGTACACGTACCCAGGCTTCTTCAGCATATCCTTTCTCATTGCCAATTTGCTGATTGCGGTTGAATACTCAAGGCTTGGGTCTACGCACACATACTATTATCCCCTGAAGAAGCTGCCGAGTACAAGGGCATCCCCGTGGTGTATAACGGAGACATTGGCTTCTTCTTCGAGCCCAACGAGTACGTACCGAAGCTAAGCTCGCAGCCGTCCATGGACAAGAAAACTAAACATAAGTCGACAGACACGGAGTCATTAAAGTATGCGATGAATTCCCAGGCTTCTCGAGGTTCATACAACACCAACCATATGGCGCCGACGCCCCCAAAAAGATCTCAGTCCCGCGATCCCACGCCAAGCATCCTACTGACACCTACCCGGACTCGTCCGAGGTTACTATTCGCAAAGCCATATCGACATATCTACCCCGATTCAAGGAAAAGGAGCTCTTCAATAGAGCGATGTGTTGGTGTACCGACACAACAGATGCATCGCTGCTTATCTGCGAGCACCCAAAGTGGAAAAACTTCGTCTTGGCTACGGGAGACAGCGGGTGAGTTAAGCAATGAAGCCGGAATTCGCATTGATCCACTGACCTATGGACAGACACACGTTCAAGCTGCTCCCAAATATCGGCAAACATGTTGTCGAGCTGATCGAAGGGACGTTGTCTGATGACCTGGCTCAAGCGTGGAGGTGGAGGCCAGGGGGTGATGCCCTTAGGTCTAGACGCGGCGCACCGCCGAAGGATCTTGCTGGTTTGCCTGGTTGGAAGCATGACCCGGCACCATAAGGACATTTGGATATGGGTACTACATAATGCAGTAATTTTGGATGGTGAATTGCTCGCCACCTAGACGTGATAAGTGTCGGCTCTTGGCTGAATCAACCCATGGACGAGTGCCAAGCTAAATAACATCCCGAAAGGCTTTCCAGGCGCTAGACGTCAGATATCTCGGGGGAGGGAAAACGACTGCAAACCGCAAGAGCGCAAAAAGTGTGCACTATACATAGATGTAAAAGCCAGAGATCCTTTCGCCTCTCCGTGTCAATATAGTTTGTCTTCAAAGATGACTCACCTCTATTGATTCCATTCTCAGAATCACGGTCCAAGATGGAGCTGCTTGTAAGACACCGCCCGTCAATCCACCGCCGGCTCCATGTGAGTCTGTATGAGCTCTAATAGGCTGAAAAGTGATATATTGTCAAGTCATATGGTGGTTGTATTGGTGTTACGCTACTGGCTATTTATATGAGAGCCGAGGCCTAGCTGCACAGTTGGGAATGGTTACCCGGTAAACAACATAGGCAGAATATGTGTCGCAAGGGAAAGAAGAAAGAAACCACCCCTTTGGTGTCCTCAAATGCTGAGTTACAGATTTCCTGATAACATGCTGAATAGATGCTAATTGCGGAAAATCGCATCAGCCAACTTAAAGCTAGAAAAGAGGCTAGAAGAAACCAGCCACAAGGCGCAGACAATCCACCACGTAGCGGGATCATAGTTATCTTGTAACAACTAGCAGTTATTCATTTATGTCGGGGGGCAAGTTCTAATTAAGACTTATAAGTACCCCCAAGTTGTTCTCGTGCGGCTACCGGCGAGTGGGCAAACCTTTTCAGAGTAGACTCCGTTGTCAGCCATAGAAAACAACGGCAGGGTTGTACTCGGCGACGTCGTCACTATAACAAATGAAACGTTTGGAATATAGAACAGTGGTGCAATTGAGGGTATACAGGATGGGTAGTCCTCATACTTAGGCACATGGATCGACACCCCAATGGGCGTACACGCGGCTCCATGCGGCATGCCCATCCTCTTGGTCTGCTATACTCTTCTGACGGTTAATGGCTCGCATTGCGCTCGCCGCCTGACACCGGTACGAGGCAAACTTGTACTCGACTGCCCGGAAATCCTCTGCCTCAAGCAGAATAGTGAACTCGTCTAAGTCCCATGCGATGTCGAAGTCGGAAAAGACCTTGTCCAGAACCGTCCGGTTCACAATATCCTTGGGGCCGGTTACTTGCAAGACTCGGGACTCAATCGAGGGAGGTTGTGCATCGCTACGGACACGGTTCATCTTGACAACCGGCACGTAACCTCGGATAGTGAACTCTCCTCGGCGGGACTTCGTTAGCAGACGGTCGACGCCATCACGGTTCCACCACACAATTTTCATGGCGGATGTTGCGATGGTAGCAGTGGGAGGGTTCATATTACATGCCCAGATCTTCCCCGTTCCCTTCAGCGTGCTCAGGACATCATTAACCGTGCAGTTCGGGGGAAGGTTAAGGATGTAGACTGAAGTGCTGAGGTGCTCGGGAATGTTCGCGCTATAGTTCTCAGGATTGCTACGATCTCCTCTGTAATTAGAGGACATCCGATTCTCATAGCGTGGGAATTTTGAAGGCGGGAATCTGGTGGTCATGCTCGGGGATTTCTGGTACACAGCATTGGTTTGCGCGTTTGATTGCATAGTTGCGGGCTGGGACTGCATGAAACCGGCAGGCTTGAAGTTGTAACCCGTTGAAGTTGCCATCGGGATTGTCATTGGGGTGACCATTGAGGGATAGGATAGTTGAACCATTTGACCTTGACGACCACCTTGGGAATATGCCACGAAGGTTCTTTCAGGAGTGAGGATGGAAGACTTGCTGGGACCGGCAGCAGTGTCGTCGCTGGAGTTCGTATCACCCCAGATGGTGGGGTCTGCCCTTAACATTGGGTTGCGAAAGCCGTGTTCGCGACAAATGTCGCACTGGCAGACCATGCGATCACCCATCGCGCTCGAATTGATACCAGTTGCTGATAATGCTATATTTCCTTCGGTTGGAAAATGGGAAATGGGTTGTTTGTTGCAAGGGTTGAGAGGACTGTCGGGGAGCGTTGGATATTTGTGGCGGAAAAGTTATTACTATAAGTACTTATTTGGGAAATGGCAAATAGCTAATAATTCAATTAGTGAAGATAATAGGCCTTTCATTCCACCAATTATCATAGATTCAGTACGATACCTTGTGTGAATGTACTTAATTGAATATTTGAAGGAGTCAGCCAGTATCACATACTAAAAGGGAATACTATAATGGCAAATACATCGAGAGAAGGAAGTGAATTAAGCATGACGCTTGACCACAGAGTAAATCAACAACTTGGAACCCCCGTTCTCCCCAGACAACGATGAAGCTGTGATAAATAGATCAGAAGATTGGCGGTAACGAGGCTGTTTAACGGAATTACAAACTAACATAACATACTATATGCTCTGGCTGGATGAAAATTAGGAGTTTAGTGTTGTGGACTAAGCGGCGTCTACATAATCAGAGCCAGATTGGCGGTTTACTATTACCCCTTTGGATAGTAGTGAATAATTGCTTTCGAGGTGCCTGCGTAAGTGGTAATCTGAAATTTCCAATGCACGTTGGCAGAATACACATATATTCGTATGCTAAACGTGGAACCCTGACTCGGATGCATCCAGGAGGGCTGTCGTACTATTTGCAGAGTCAATGCATCACTGACCTATGTTTATGTCAATACTGCCCATTGTTTGTGAGATTATGACTTCTATCCCTGTGCAAATACCATTATGTGTGGACTGTCTCTTGTGTGACGCATCGTGGCCTTCGTATTTCCATATCCACAAAAGGTTGCATGCCATTAGGCATAGTACTGTAGAATGGACATCTCCAATTACTTCGATCTTGCCCACTCTCAAGGGAATCGTCTGCCTCGACACCAGAGCTGCCGGCGGGGTTCACCGGCAGCCCCCTTAGTGCTTCTATGATCGGGCCGAGATTCGAACTGCTGTGAAGTTATCCCGGTGTCTCGCTTACTAGAGTTTGAGGTTATCGTGAAATCAAGATTTACGGGTAACTGCATGTCTTAGTTCTTGCACAGTAGTCAGGTGTCACCAAAAATAGACGTTTCAGCCTTTGAGCACAGAAAATCAATCTGATGGCCTCTATTGGTCTTCGAACCGTGAAGATTATTCCTACCGTTAGGCGTGGATCAGAGTACAAAGCATGGTCATGTTTTGAAACATTGCCTCATTTGGAGATGCCAGGCGTCGAGCTTGTGCAAATGACGTGCTACTCTCAGCCTCAAACAGGCACTGCAGAAATCGAAGTCAATACCAAGTCAATGTTGACTCAGATACTGGCCCTGGAATCCCGTCAGCATTATTCCCCAACAGTCTGAGCAGTGTCATGTAAAGCGAGAGGTATCGCATGACTGGGTGCAAATAAGGCAAACAAAATGGGCGAAATGGTGATGGAATATATCAAAGCGGTCTGTTGATCTCGGCGAACACGGAGTAAGTCAAATTTCCCTAAAAGTTTTAACTCAGCCATGATGTAATCTGCTCCGTTAAAGTTCTAGTTACTCCTATGACTATTTTCTCTTTAATAACTCTGGGTAAATAGATCATCGGCACGTATCTGCTGGTTTCCTGTTATTTTGTCTCCTTTTCTTTTCGATTAACATGGATGTTAATTGCAATATAGATAGATACCATGGAGAGCACCATGGAGAATCTAAAGGGAGTTCGACAATGCAAGCCAAAGCCGGCAGATACTGCCAGCTGGGATTTCACTACTTGTATGGGTGGTATCTCCCCCCAAACAGTCGCGTAGATACTTATATGAAGTTGATTTTACTATCCTTGGAATTTACGTCTTGCAACCGCGCCTTTGGTTTATTAGTCCCGTTGAAATGACCTTAACATGAAAAATACCCCTTCCATTTATCCTAAGTCACACTAAACTTCACATAGGCACGAATCTGAAGTCACTGCCTTGCGTGCCGGAGGTAAACAAGCTGCCTGGTGGCAAGCTTAAGAACACATTCAAACATCTGCAGTCAAAGGCAAGCCAATAAGCCAATAAATTACTAGCAATGGGGCGCAGACACAGGGAATTAACAGAGCACCGAATTATTTACGGTCGGGTATCGGAAATATAAATCGCGAAGGAATAGCTAGAGAGCCACGATATCTGGACTATCGACTGGCCCTCCCATAGTTCGGACCAATCGCCGATAGAGCTCATCTGGCATTATATGAAGGCCTGAATCCATAGAAAATACACTGATCTCCATAAATTAAGGGACACAGAAGTTGACAAAGAGATGACGAACGACTCGATCCGGGAGGCGTGATGGTCAGTAGATCCGGCCTTTATTGACCAACTGATTGATTCGTGCCCGGTCGCGTAGGTAAATAACGTAGGGTCCGTGGCTAGTACAGATGTATCAAAGAGGGAAAGTAGGGCTTAGAAATACGTGTATTATTGTTGAAATATCTTGGGAAAAGGATGCGTAATTAAGCTGGCAACTGTGGTGGTCAAGGTTGGGCGTTTCTCAATTAGTGGGGATGGGGCCAGACTTTTTGGCGGTGATTTTACAGTTTCCCGCATATAATCTGCAGGAACATTTACTCGTGCCTCAACGCGACAGCTACATACACTCGATATTAAAACTGGTCAAGATTAGTCTCAGTAACTCAAGACTTCCGCTGCCTCCCCTCTCCAGTCGGGATCTCGCATTTCTACATCTCATCCGTCAAATTCTCCTATGGTATCAGCAGGTCTCGCTTCAGCACCACAGTCCTATCCGTCCCCACGTTATGTATCGAATGCCGAAACTAGACACCTAACTAAGCTTGTCTTGAGCCCATTGTCGGCCTCTCGAAACCGGGTATTACCCGATTCAAGGATACCACGGACTCAATGGTGACCCAAGGGTTGAACCAGAGAACCGATGTGGACCTGATCTCACTCGAACACATCAATACTAGGAAGTAAATAAACCACCGATCCTATGCTTCCTCCCTTGTAGCGGGTCTTAACAGTGGACGATGAACTAAATGTATCTGAACTGTGACTTAGTGACTGAAATTGGATCAGGGCTCCCTACTTCGTTATTGCAAGAAACCCTTTCCACTATACCAAGCCAAGTCACCATTTGACAACCAAATCGATGCTACCTGAAGGAACAGAACCGTACTCTACATGTGGTGGTCGCTATGATATGGTTTCCGCAGGACAAACCAACTCATTTCAATTATCACAAGGAATGGTAAGTTCTCATGGGTTCTGGATGCCAAACGTGAGATTTATGGAGTATCTCGATTTCACGGTGTCTGACGAGTTCAGTTCGGGATACGGATTACTGTTCGGGTCATCGAGATTCGTCAGGTGGAGCATGGAGGGGCCTGCCAGGGGCAATGGTCAAGGGTAGCACTGAGGCTGACAGCGCGTAGAATGGCGGGGTAGCTTCTGTGACTTGCTCCGCCAATTTTGTGACGACATGATCCATCCATCCCTTAGCTCTCCGTTTGAAGCATCCAACGGAAGCAATTGAGTTCCATCATAATTACCGTCCCGCCTCGGCGAATCAAGTCGATCGATAACAGGCACTCTTCCAACACATCACCGTCCACGATGGTGCTCCCCGTCCCGCTCTACCGCCTCCAATGCGGCGTCAACTCTTACGACTGGGGCAAACTCGGCTCCGACTCAGCAGCCGCCAAATTCGCCGCCACGACGCCCTCCGAATCCCTCACCATCCAGTCCGACAAGCCTTACGCCGAGCTGTGGATGGGCACGCACCCCTCGAACCCGTCCAAGGACATCGACAGCGGCCGCACCCTCCTCGACCTTGTTGAATCGAACCAGGCCCTCCTCGCGCCCGCGGTCAAGTCCCGCTATGGCTCCAAGCTGCCTTTCCTCTTCAAGGTCTTGTCTATCAACAAGGCACTCTCTATTCAGGCCCACCCGAACAAGAAGATCGCTGAGCAGTTGCATGCTAAGGATCCGAAGAATTATCCCGATGACAACCACAAACCTGAGATGACGATTGCCATCACCGATTTCGAGGGGCTGTGCGGATTCCGACCGCTCGCAGAGATTGCGCACTTCCTCGCTTCCGTGCCGGCATTGCGGCAGTTGGTGGGAGAAGACGATGCGAAGGCGTTCATTGCCACGGTCCGCGGACAAGAAAGCGACGACTCGTCTGAGTCAACCACACAGAACAAGCGCGCCTTGAAATCCGCATTCGCAGCCCTCATGGAATCCTCCTCCTCAGACATCGCCTCTGCGTCCCAGTCCCTCGTCTCCGACGCCGAATCAAGAGGCTCCGGATTTGCCGACGGCGGCGTAGAAGGCTCGAGCGGGGTAGCGCTCTCGCAACTGGTCATCAGACTCAACAAGCAATTCCCGAACGACATCGGCCTCTTCGTGCTCTTCTTCCTCAACTACGTTCAGCTCTCTCCGGGCGAGGCCATGTTCCTCAAGGCGGATGATATTCATGCCTACCTATCGGGCGACATCATCGAGTGCATGGCCGCGAGCGACAACGTGGTGCGCGCGGGGTTCACGCCCAAGTTCAAGGACGTAGGCACGCTGGTTGATTTGCTGACGTACGACTACGCCCCCATCGATGAACAGAAGATGGAGCCTAAAGAGTACCCCTACGTCGTGCTCAACCGGGCCGCGTATAGTTCCGGGTCTGAAGCTATGTTGTATGACCCCCCTATTGATGAGTTCAGCGTTGTGAGGACGGTGTTGAATGGAGATGGCTCGAAGGCCACATTTGATCCGATTGATGGGCCGAGCATTATCATTTGTACGGGTGGCAAGGGGAAGATTGCTGTAGGGCCGACGGTCAAGGAGATGAAGGAGGGTTGGGTTTATTTCGTGGGAGCCACAGCGGAGGTGGTGTTACAGTCGGAAGGGGAGAAGGGGGACGAGTTCATTACGTTTAAGGCGTATTGTGAGGTGGAGGATCATAGTAATGGGGGGAAGCTGTAATGGGTTTACGGCTTCTTTTGAGCGATGAGAGCTGGGTTTGACAAGGATACTGGCATGGCCTGCTTAACAGAGGTCATCCCTCCGTGTCGACAGGATTGGTCAAAGGTAGATGTTTTGACCGGATGAACGCGATCTGAACTTTATGTTCAACCCACCAAATAAATGGTAATGGAAAAAGAAACCAGCCGGCTGAATATGCAGTCATGGCAGTTACGAGGAAATGGACGCGATGCTTTTTGGAAGAAAATATATCCCTAGGTAGTTGAGAATTTCAATTCTTTTTACATTTACTTTCTCACCATACAGACAACTACAATACTCGCCTACTGTAGCGCTGTCCGAAGTTGTATTCAACTCTGGTTCTTCTGCCATGGAATATTCACCTTGACTACGTGCTCTTCCTCTGTGGGTTACTTTCCTCATTGCAAATGCTGTGTCGAGATCTTCTATTTTAGGATGAGAAATCTACGAATGCCTCTTCTTAGGCATCTACACCCCGCCGATGTAACAGGCTACTTCAACACGTTCGTTTGGGAGGGAGGTGAGAAGCAAGAACTGCTTGAAGCTTTGTTGGTTTCCTCTTGGACTTCTACCAATCCTAAAGTTATCCTTTCTTTTGTTCTCCTGCCCTCGTTCCCACTTCGTCAACTACCACAGCGCAGTGCTGATTTGTGCTCTTTTCACATTCAATGGCCTCTGGCTATCCATAATAAACCCTAGTGTGATGATATTCGTCAACTAGAGATCTGGTGTAAGCATGGCCTCTATTTACCGCCTGCTCCAGTAATCGCAATGTAGAACTTGACCAGAGAATGGCCATGCTCTGGCCAGGTTGTTCACTGTAGTCAGGCTTCCCTGTTTTCTCAATCGATTTATCAGACACCACATTGTACCAAGCGTCCTAATCTTCACACGAGAATACACACCGGTGAGAGCTCACTAGACGAACGAGCTCCTCACACCCGTTAGCTAGAAACACTCGCCAACAAAAACCGCCACGTACTCCGTTAGCCGATAATTCGCAGGGAAATCGACGGATGGTGCAACAGCGCTCTGGCTCCGGGTACAATACCCAAAGCAAAAAGCGAGGATCCGGCAGTTCCAGTAGGTAGTCATTACGTGCAGGCCAGGGTTGAGGGGGCTGGTCAGTACAGCAATGAGAAGGAGAACGGGACAACTGCCCCGAATCAGATAGTCACGAGAAGCATGATGGCGTGCACATCTTATAAATTAAGCCAATTAAAAACTGCCAGTATTTACATCAACGTCCCATCCCGTTGTAGAAATGCATTCCGGGTAATATCCTGGCCTAGTGGTTGTGCTCAGGCGGGTCCTGCAGGTAGAGCCACATGCTTGAGTACGGAAGACGAGCCACGCCGTTGAAAGCGATTCGCCTTATCTCTCCCTGACTAGTTTGACATGTATTAGTAATCAGTCTTGACGACGTAAGCCAATATAAAAGAAAATGAGAAGCACGGCTAGCTCTTCCGTGATGTGCTAAGGTGCGATCACCACCGAAGTAGTGAAGAGGTGGGTGTAGGGAGAGCACGGAACAACCTCAAACTCGAGTCGCTTTTACCCTTTTACCTTGATTCATTCGGGTACTGACAAGATAGTCCCATCAAAGGTATCATTACCAAGTAGATGATGTGCCACCATGCCGGCTCCGCTGGGCATTTCAGTTTTACCCTCGTCGAGTTTGACCAGGACACCGTCCCGTTGCGTTTTCCAGTCTTTGACTCCGCTACGCTCCAGGAAATTGACGGCCTGCACACCGAAAAGAGTTAGCTCTCCGTCATAGATACTGCGAGGATCATAGAGACCGCCGAGAAGTTAAGGGGGATTGAGCTCAATTCAACGATGGAGATGAGATAGAGAAGAGGCTCGGGCTCATGTGTAATGCACAAAAGGTTGGCGTTGAATGATTCGATATCCGTAAATGCGGGAGAAACAACGGAAAGGCGCAATACTAACCATATCCCATGACTCCTTGTCAGCCGCATCACCGCTCTCGAAGACCTTGAGGGTAGCCCAGTTGTCCGCGGGCGTGGGAACGGTCAATTGGCCAATCAGATAGCTGTATGACGTATTACGTTCCATCCACAAGTCCGCCATATCAACATTCTTCATCGCCGTGCGATCCTGCAGCAACTGGTTCCCAGGTCTTGGCGTTAGCTGCACGAAGAGCCGATCGACCTTGGGCAAATTCGAAATCAGCGTGTAGAAGTGCGACGACAGAGGGAAGATGGCGATGTAGTTAAAATCTACAATGGTACCTGGCAGAAGTGGCGCGTTGTTGGGATATTCTCCAAATCCTAGTAGAGCACTGAGTATGGATGGGGGAGACCGAAGGAAGAATTCGTAGCTTGAGTAGACTCTTGTCGACGAGCCTTCGTTCAACAAGATCGAGGTCCAGGGACGAAGGTTGAAAAGCGCGCAGGGAGGTGCCGGCTCTGGGGTCTTACATGAAGGGGCGCTTGGGGCTGACGTCGAAGAGGGTGGTCCTGCAGAACTCGGCGACGACGACGATACTTTCAACTCAGCCGGGTGGGAGTGGATGGTCAGCGTTTCCGCTGAACGCCCCGGTGTGCTGGTACGGGCCGGACGAGCCAGCGAAAGAACATGATACGGGATATTGAACGACCACGCATCGTCCAGGAAGAGCATCCGATTGAGGAGAGCCGCCAGGGTGGTAGGTGGGGCAATGACGGTGAACCTTAGAGGGTCGATAACGGAAAACAAGCGATCCCAAAGCCATTCCAAATCAGCCGGACGTATTTGATGCGGGATCTGTCTGGCATCGATCTCATCCTCGGCGAAGGTCACGAGCATGGTGAAGGTGGAGACGTAGGATGCCAGCGCATTGTCCAGGATGAATCGCAAGAGCGCGACAGGTTGGAGGCTCAAGTTGCTCAGCGATGACACCTCGGGTCTCCAGACGATGTTGCGATATAGCTGTGGCAGTACGATGGAGCGCCATTGTCGGCTTACGAGCGAGATGGCCTTGAGGTTTTGAGTACGGATGTTGGCCGCCAGCATGTCATCGCTGGGTTGGCCATGGAGTGCCTCTGATGGGGCTGCGCCAGCCAGAAACCCGAAGACATGAGATAATATTTCAGGGGGCAGTGAGTGAACAGTAGTGCTCGCTTGGGCGTCCATTTCCACACGCGGAAACAGGTAGACTGGTTGGGCGTAGGCAGCTTCTACAATTCAGAACGATGCAGTGATGTTGACAATGGTAAGTAGCTACTGGAATTGTAGTGCTTGGACACTGAAACAAAGTGGAGATGCGGGATCCCGCCCAGGGTTCGGGGATAAACTCGAGCTTCACTCGGACAGTAGCCTCATGGAGGACTCGGCGAAATCCGAATGGTTTCCGCGGAGCTGGATCATGACCATCTAAAATGCCTTGCCGTAGCGTCGAGATGCTAGTGCTACTGAAGATCTGGGGAATTATGTGCTACAGGAGGTCACGAGCTCGACATGATGGCAGTGGATCATGGAATCCTAGAGGTGACGTCACACTGCTTCCACCATATTGCAGCTCAATCATGAGTGAAGATCGACCAGCAACATGCTACTATTCTTTAGGAAATTGACCATTTGCATATCAATGAATTCTTCGCAGCTATATATCACCTGAAATACTACCATACGTACACAATATCTGCGTGGACCAGCGTCGTCATCTCATGACATGCCACCAGAGTAGTCGAGGGACAAGCAGGTCGGCTCTTGCCTGCAGGTCGATGATCATAGCGGGGTCATGATGGTTAATACAATTCTGTCTCCATTCAGCCGGGTTATTGATTGCTCACTTAAGTAGTTGCGAAGTCGTTAATACCCTGGTTTCCCGTACACCCTGCAGCTCATCTGGTGAAGATACTGACAACCTGAGATACACACAAATGGGGTTGAAAAAGATAGCTGACTATATTATTATGTGAAGCATACATAATCATTCTCGGCTACAATGGAGCATTAACCAGTAGAGTTTCAGATGCACTCAGTCCATATGCACGAGGGTCATCTTTCCCCGGCGACACCATCTGTTCGCCCCATTGGCTCGATGAATCTTTCCGCTGCACAATCAAAAACCGAGATGTAGACTTTCAAAGCTGCAGGAATGGTCAGGCAAGTAGACCAAATAGAGCCCGTTTTGCAAGCTACCCCTCAACTCACTCCTCTCCACCATCCCGAGGTCGACGTAGGTCATGATAATACCCCACTCGATTTCATGGCCACTTACAGGTTTTGTGTCAGTTTGGGTAAGATGAGGAGAGAGCCACGGTAGATGAGGTTGTCTTAAATGACCTCGATGTCATCGCAATCATAAAGTCGAGCATATTCCTCTTTCTCATAGCCTCACTCGTATATTTGCTGACTACCTTGCTTGAAACCCACGCAAAGAAACAATGGTCACCACCAAACAGAGACCCCCATTCCGTGCCGAGCACATGGGATCCCTGCTGCGCCCCAAGGCATTGAGTGAGAAGCGCATCCAACTCGACAGCGTCAAGGCGCTGGAAATCGTTCGAGACAAGGAGTTGCACACGTTAGAAGACGAGGCCATCAACGAAATTGTCAAAGTGCAGCTAGACATCGGCTTCCATGCTATTACCGATGGCGGTATGTAAATGGGGAACTTGACTTGCATTTCAGATCCACTCGTAAGAGCTCAAATGGGTTGATACAGAGAAATTCAGCTTTCTCAAGGAACGGAACTCCTAAATTTCTTCCTACACGTCAATAGCTGACTCTGATTTTCGCGTAGAATATCGCCGCCACCAGTTTTGGGGCACCTTCTTCCCCAACTTGGAGGGCTTCGAGGAGATTCAGAACCCGGAATGGGATATGTTTCGGCCTTATGTGCCCGACACAGCCGCGTTCAGTGAGTGACCACTAACTGATATGAGATAGAGATCAGGTAGCGATGGTAGACGAAGTGTCCTCCCAGTTTTCCTCTTCATGAAGAAGACCAAACGCTCATCTTATCGCATACTGTACCATCTCACTAACGCTCTCCCAGCCGAAACCGGCCACAAACCCGGCGAATCCATCGTCTGCACCGGCAAAATCAAGCACGCGGGCAGCGCCTACATATCAGACTGGGAGTACCTCAAGTCACTCGTGCCCGCGGAACGGGTCAAAGAGCTAAAAGTTACCCTTGCCGCCCCCGAGTGGTACCACCTACGGTACAAAAAGGGGCGGGCGTACCCGTCGTCCGTCTATGCGAACGACGAAGAATACTTTGCCGACATTGCGGCCGCGTACCGAACCGAGCTGCAAATCTTGTACGACGCCGGATGCAGGAACGTCACTATTGATGATCCAAACCTGGCTTGTACGACTCCTATTTCCTTTTATCACTCTCTTCATCCCGTCCCGTCCTTCATTCTCCATTCTCAAAACTCGCCAAAACCGCGAATACACGCAGCTGGCCTGACATGATCTGGTATAAATCAGACTTCTGCTCCGAAAAAATGCTCGCCGGCTTCGAAGCCGACAACGAATCCGCTCCCGCCCTACTATCCTCCTATATCCGCCTCTACAACTCCTGCATCTCCTCCCGCCCGGCCGACATGCACCTAGGCATCCACCTCTGCCGGGGCAACTTCGCCTACAGCAAGCATTTCTCCGAGGGCGGGTACGACCGTATCGCCTCTTCCCTCTTCAACGACATCGCCGCCGACACCTACTTCCTCGAGTACGACACGGAACGCGCAGGGTACTTCGCTCCCCTGAAGGAACTCCCCGCAGATAAGAATGTCGTGCTGGGGCTTATCACGAGTAAATTTGGTGAATTGGAGGATCTGGGGGCGATGAAGAGAAGGGTGCACGAGGCGGCGGAAGTGGTGGCAGAAGCCGTGGGACAGAGTAGAGAGGAGGCGTTGAAACGGATGGGGGTTAGTCCGCAATGTGGGTTTGCGAGTCATCATTTGGGGAATTCGGTTAGCAGGGAGGATATGATTAATAAGTTGAAGTTGGTGAGGGAGTTGGCGGACTCGATTTGGCCGGGCGAGCCGTGAGCTGGTATCCTGGGCGGGGGCCATGGTCAATGGAAGCCGGGGCGGAATTAAGTTGTGCTTGATGACGAACTTGGATGATTAAAACGGACAATCAACTTGTCCCAGCGACTGATAAGCCGCAGTCCGGGGTCAGGTGGGAATGCAATGGGAACGTAAGGATGATCATGTATTTCTACTGCCCCCTAGTAAAAGTATTTAACAATCGTGTTTTCAATGCCCCTTTTCCCTGCATCATCTATCGTGCCAATGTCATCAGTCGTCAAAGTACCCCCCGCCGCCTCACTTCACTTCGGAACTTCGCCACCAATCATAACGATGCGGCCCTCGAGTCTCGGCGCAATGGCTCTCGTCCAGTCGACCTCGAACTCATCCTCGTTCAGCTCATCCGCAACCTTGCACTCCACACCCGCAAGCCTCGCCCACTTGCCAAACACCCTCCGCATGATCTGCAGCTGCTTCTCCACATCCTGGACATCCCCGACCGCCTCTTCATCCGCCTCCTCTTCGCTTTCATCGTCCGACTCGTGGAGCAGCAAAACACTGGATCTGCGCTCCCGCAGCTTCTTAGGCGTCCAGTTGTCCCAGCCGGGAGCCTTGCTCACAGACGGCGAGACGGGAGTCGCCTGCGGAGTGGGGTCGATGAGAGGATGCGCTGCGCTGACCTTCTCCGACACTTTGTTCCAGTGCCGGTTTATGGCGTTGCCCCAGTTCTTCCACTGACCCATGACACGGATGGACAGGAAGAACTGGCGAAGCATCATCGAGATCAGGATACCGTTTTCCTCGGATACGATTTCCTCGGCTTGACCACCCTCCGCTTCTATCAGCAGGGAGTCGTAGCCATCCTTGCCGCGACCCATATAGCCTCGGGTGACCAGGACGTATTTTCTTTCCATATCGATGGGCTCATTGTTGATGGTGGCCGTCACGATCCGAGAGCCACGCGGCTTGCTACAGTCGAATTTGAAGGCGATGGCAGACACCTGCGGGAAGCGACCTTCGAGGGCAGGGTACTGAGACACGCCGTTCTCTAGGGCGTCCCAGATTGCTTTCCCGGTGACTCTGATCACCACGACCGGATCTTCGAAAGGGAAACAATTCATAATGTCCTTGAGGAGAACCGGTCCTGGCGGGTAAATCTGGTCCCCTCGCACCGTTCCCGAGGCTATAATGCAGCAGTCGCCCGAGTAGTGATGCCGCATGATGTCGCAGACCCAGTTGGCAATGTTGCTTTCCTTCAGCCGGACCGTTCTAAATCTGGCATCAAGGGGCGCGGCAGTATAGCCGATGGGCTTTTGAAGCGTTGTCTTCAGGCTGGCTGTCAGTTTCGCGACTAGCTCAAGGGTTTCACCGTGTTCCGGGATGGCCGATGTGGCATCTCGCCGTGTAATGTTCACGTCCCACCTCCCCGAATTGTCTTGGCGCCGCCGTGCTTCTATGTAAGACAATTGCTTGAAGTCGGTGCCGGACCGGAGGACATGTGTACCCTTGATCAAGCTGTGGTTGTAGTAGTGATCGTGACCGCCCAAGATGATGTCGATGATGCCGTCAGTGTTCTCGGCGAGCTTGTTGTCGTTTGGCTCCCGCATATGCGTCAGGGCAATAATGATCTCGGCGCCGGCAGCACGCAGACGAGGGACCAGTTCTTTGGCCGTGTTGCTCGCCGACTTATAGATAAGATTAGGCGGGAGACTGTTGATTGTCGCCAGCCATTCCCGCTCACCCAATCCAATCAGACCGACTTTGATCCCGTTGGACGAGGTGATGATATGTGTTCTCTTGGCATTACCAATCGGCACATTCTCGCCCAGAGCAGGGTCTAGCACATTGGCGATAAGCCATGGGAATTTGCACTTCGACGCTAGGTGCCTAAACTGGCGGACACCAAAGTCGAGGTCGTGGTTCTGGCAAGATTGTGAGTATGAGCGACAGCATGGTATTTGGGAATTGCATACACCTAGTGCCGCAGCGTCTGTACCAATACTGTTGAGAAGTGGAACCATATGATCGCCTGTCGGATCCACGTAAGTAGGTAGACCAGCAACTGAGTGAACCAATTGGTAGAGTTCAGCAAGACTGTCAAACAGCCGCAGGGAAGGGACTCTGACGGTGTGGCTGATGGTGGATTGGTTTGCAACCAGCGTAACAAACTACATGCAAGTTCCAACATACCCTTCGTTATCGAGCTCTCCAAGCTTGGATTGAACGCATCTCCCGAGAAAAAGGTGAGCAGATCAGACTGTCCCTTGAACGTCTCATCATCGCGATACTGCTTGATGAGGGTCATGAACCGAGCCACACCGCCCACGGGTTCAGCGGAGGACGGATCGACGTGGTACACATCGTTGTAGTGCAAAAGTCTCAGGTCTGGAGGTCCATTGCTGTTTCCCGAATCGTAGGTAACCGACTCATCAGGAGGCGGCTTCGACTTCTCGGCCGGCATGATGGTTGGTTTTCTAGGTGCAAATGGCGGGTTTACGAGGATGTTCGGGGTGGAACGATGAAGCACTCACCTCAGTGAATTGGGGGGCAGTGCTCGGGTGAGATTGCGGGGCTGCTAGCGGGTGGCTGCCCTACGACTGCCTGCCCAGGGTGTTGGGCGCAGAGAGAACCGGCCCCTGAATGCCAAGGCCTCCAGTTGCGTTAGCACTCTCCATCATCGCCTCAATAACAAATAATAATGAAGGATTTCATAAGCCTTGGGAAGCCTCGCGACCAATCAAATGGTGACGTATCACGATTGAGGATCAACGTGGATCGGTTTGAGTTGGCAACCTGCCATAATTGCCACCTGAGGATGGACGACGAAGATTCGATGAGATGTCCGGTTCACGCCCTGAATCACCAATTCATATGTTCCCTCAGTATGTCCACAGCTACCGAGCTCCGAGGATTGTGAAACTTGGTCGGTCAGTCTACCATGACGTTGCCAATGTTTTATACGTTCCTGGCAGCTAGTTTGGCCAATGGCATCTTTCGACAACGTCAGCTTCATGTGGTTGCAGCAAGGGGAAATCAAGAGCTGATGGGCGCATCCCTGTACAGGTAGCATGCCCTTTGTACGTGCTCTTTATTTTCGCTACTCTCCTCTTTCCATCTGTTCGAGGAGTATAAAACGGTTAGGGGAAGAATTGATATGATCCTGAATGGAATTCATCATTTCATACTATGTCTTCATCACGAATGCTAGCCACTCATGTCATTAAACGTCACGCGTGTCCCGTCTTTTATATCCGAAGCAGCTCGTCTTCATATCAATCGGCCCTCGCATCGTCATTCGGCTGGCGCGACGCGCGTAGACAACAACTCCCGATCCAAACATTATTCAGCTCAAGCGACCTGTCGACTCCATCATCGCAAAAGTGTACTAGACCGGCGAAGGCCCAGACTCAGACCTCATCTCAATCCCCTGACGAGAAGACCTCTTTGATCCCTCTTGCCCATCCCTGTCTTTCGGCGTCCGTTTCTTGTGTCGATACAAGAGAAATCCCACAATGATCATGACAAAGATGCCACCAACCGTCGAGCCGACACCTATCCCCGCCGCAGTGCTAGTGCTCATGGGACCGATATCATTGTCCGGTGTTGACGTTTGCGTCGGCCTATAGCTCGTGTGACTCGAGGAGCTGCTCGTGGCGGCGACGATGCTTTCCGGAAGCGGTGTGGACAGGAGCCCTGTAGTCGGCGCAGTGAGTAGCTCCGTATTCGTGGCTTTGATGGTAGGGGGTAGGATCTCAGATGGTTGGAGGCTCTGTTGGATACCTTTCGTAAGCCTCCTTCCTGCGCCGCGAATAATTGAGGGGGCGGGTTCCTACCATAGTGCTGCTCGTAAATCGAACAGTTACAAAATACCCCTCAATCATCCCGACATCTCTCTCCTCATTCCGCTGGTTCAAAACACCAACAATCCTGGCTTCCACGACGTGAAGTTGGCCAGAAATCCACGCCGCCGCAGCGAGTGCGCGCAGGAAACCCATCATGTTTTTTTCGGTGTCAAGATAAGGTGTGGCTTTGAATCGCCAAGGAAAACGAGGGCGAGCAGGAAACCCCCTAATCCTTATAGTAGAGCGAGGCATGCACGGAGCCGCCGTGACACGAAAGCTTGCCGTTGTTGTGGGACTCGCACCTCCCGACTGAGGCAAACTTGTTGCACAGGTGCCACGCATCTAGCCTCGGCCTAAATCAGGGGACGTTTTTTCGTGTGTAACGACAGCCGGGAATGAGAGCAAGTGGTATGTGTGCGTGCGTGGGTGTGGATGTGGGTGTGGATGTGGGTGTGTGTGTGTGTGTATGCGGATGGGCAGTGCGGATATGCACACACATGCTCCGGTGCCATTTTTTAGGAAGTGTGGGATTGTTAAGAGGTGAAAAGTGCACTCAAGTAAATGTGTGTCTCGTATTACAGTGAAGCTGGGATTTGTTTCAATGATACCCGAGCCGGGTAATCGTCGTGTTGAGGTCGGGAGAAGGCAACTACCCGCCCAGAGTTTCACCATCCGACGGCTGATAATGAAACCGTTTGTAGGTATCTAAACAATTGCTATAGCAGGCTGATGGCATATAGTTTTGATGGGCAGGACATCCGATCATGATTCAACCTTCATGCTATTTGGAGACCGCTTACTAGGGGGCTGTGGATTTCATCTGAGCCCGCCTCCTGGCAGTCTTGACTTCTCATCAGACGATTGCGGTCTATTTGAATCATCCGACTCCACTCGTCCCATCTTGTGCCCGATTCAAATCCGAATACACACTATTCTACGAAGGTGTAATCTTCAAACAAGGCGCTGAAAACATGGCAAAGACCGTCGGATGAGCCAGGTTTCTGTCTTCACCAAAATTCCAGCCAGTATTATACCGCATCGCAGAGCGAGCCAGAGCACTCTCCGAAGTTATGTTGATCAACCATATGTTTTCCCTGACGTATGAGCCACTCATCGTCATTCCAGAAGAATTCATAGCCGCAACAAAATGCAACAGCTCATAGCCCGATGTTTATTGTGTTGGAAGTCGGCTTCGATGCCAGTGAGGTAATGGCAACTCCAATGATGTCCATCCAGATCCAACGGCCGTGCTCCTTCCTCTCGAACAAAGTCTAACACTTTGTTGTCTTGACTTTTGGGAAGATCTGGGTTTACGTTGTTGAGAGCAGCCGAGACGCTCAAGGGAATACTATTCATGCGAGACTACGCACTAGACACTTTGTTAGACATCTTGTCGACATCGCTTGATCATCTCTTCGGTTTCACTTCGGATTCGGCACTTGTATAGACGGCCGCTTTATCATAGAATCCGCATACGTCAGTCGAAGCATCGCAACGTACTTCATGTTCTTACATTCCAAGCGTAGGGAGGTCGACAGTAAGCATCTCCCTTTGCGTAGATATCCTCATTGGGAGGTTGGATAGGGATCTTTTTAAACCCCATATTTTAAGCTTTTTATAATGAATTTCACCCACCACGAGTTATCAGAGGATCTTAGAACATATTCGGTCTTCCAATGTTCGACTTCGCTCCGGCATCTGCGCATGCTAATTTCCAAATGGGCCAATTCAGCGGCCTGACTTGGCTCATCGGTGCCGGCATCTCTCCCCAGCAATCCAGAGATGCTTTCAAGAATAATTTTAAAATTGAAAATGTCTTCTAAGACCTCTAGTGCCATCGATTGTGCATACTTGATTGACTCAATGTAGTCTGAGATGTGGTCTTTGAGCACCAAAAGCCCATTGAGAGCCTGACCGACAAAGGCAAGGTTGCGCGGAGCGTAAACTGACCAGGTATAAGAATTCTCTAACCAGGTACAAAACCTAAGGTCTTGGCAAAAGTTCAGCATGTACTTAAAACATAACGCGCTTCAATGTTCAACATATGTTGAACTTCAATGTAAGTATTATTAACTATCTAGTAATATTACGCTTAGGGTTCCTATCTAAAACAAAGACTTCGTCGTCCTCTCTATCTAAAAGAGAGTTAAAGGATTACTTGAACATATGTTGAAAATCGACTTAGCACTATTATATCATATGCTACACATATGTTCTACATATGTTGAATATTAATCAAAGATATCCTTCTATCTTACCCGCTATCGGCGGTGACAAAAGGCCACGTAAATGAAAACTTTCTGTACTGCTATCAGATAAGTTCAACATATGTTAAACCTCGGAGCGCGTTATGTTTTAAGTACCTGCTGAACTTTTGCTAAGACCTTAGGTTTTGTACCTGGTCAGAGCGATCTTGTATCTGGTCGATAAAAACCTCCATTGCGCGTGACAGACAAGATAGCTGCAACGAGTTCCATGGGCCACGCCACAATGCAATCAGACCATGGCAGTAATGAAACTTCTTATTTTGGCGAATGTGACTGGTCATTTGGGGTGGAGGTTTCGAGATAAGATGGTGGTAGCAGAATTTGAAAAAGCGGGAAGTTGGGATAACCCCCTGATTTAAGTTTTGCACTTCTTAACTTGAATAAAAATGTGGCCTTCTATTTGCTTCGGTTTTGAATTATTCACTCCAACCCGGTTGGCAGTGGCATAGCATCTTGGAGATAATTATCAGATTCCATCCCCGCAGACGAAGCTTAGGGAATAAAAGGTTATTATAAAGAGAGGCATTTGTTATCGTGAACTGTGGATCGCGAACTTCAACAGAAGATGGCCAAGCCGCCATAGATAGATGAGACAAAAAATGTTTTGGGATACGGCATGTACTCCTCTATTTACGAGGGCATTTTCTACGTATGATACTTCTGTTCACCTTTTTCTTTTACTCAACTCTTCGCAGCATTTAATGTGCACAAATCTATCTGACGCCTGAATCAATCAGGTGGTGTGGGAGTCTATCCTTCGCGAGGCTATGGATCTTACTGGATCGGCGCTGGAGCACTAGCGGCCCGGTCCCACGACCTGATAATAACGAGGAAGTGAACGCGAAAATTGGCCCGTGGGCAAGGATGCATTCATCTCTACCAGGGTACTAAGGAACACCAGTTCTTGGAGTACAAACGGTCTGTCTCGGTGTTTGATATAGTGTTTTGCGATTGTCTTGAGCAGCTTTCCGCTAACTGGATTTCTGAGCGTTTTCAACCATTTATGGGATATTCAATTGAGGAGTTGCTAGAGGCTGAACATGCCGAGGTAAATTGACAATGGACCCATCTCACTTTCAGCATCCACGAATTGACACCAAATTTAGGTCAGCCCACTGAACATAATGCGCAAAGTATTCAACAACGATTTGGCTATTCTGAAGTGCGAAGAGGCCGCTTCTATAAAGCAGCTACAAGTGGACTCGGTCCCAGGAGGAGATGATTTGATCTATATTGAAGTCTTATTATCGTTCAGGTCGTTCACATTGACTTAACTAGACTCCCCCATGAGCAGCAAGTCTTGCTGGAGGACAAACTTACCATGAACTTAATGGGATCACAAGCATGCATATGATCTAACATCGTTCAAGGCCCTGAAAATTTCATGATTCGTATAGTTAACAAATGAGGCCGATATCATGTACATATGATCCTGTAATCTCCAAGCCCCCCTGGTCGTCCGTTTATGCACAGCTACGGCTGAGCATGGCATGACCAATCAGGTTCCACATAAAAGCAAGCGTATATGATGCAATGTGACCTATAAGCCCAATAGTATCGTCATCCTTCATACTGGTATGGCATCTCATTGGCCAAAATCCTCCACAGTCATAAGCGAACGGCGAAATTTTAAATCCAGATGAATGCTTACTTAGACCCCTACGCCTTCTGCATTGAGGTACTGTCCCGATGGTACAGGCACCAGGTTATCTGGTAGGCAGGCATCCACGCCTATTTAATATATCAGGCCGTCTGGATACCAATGGGTATATTTTGTTGTTAGCTGCGCAGTAAGTATATCCCGCATCTACAAGAGTTTCGCAACCCAGCACTTCCGCAAATCGCTAATTGGATTGATCTTGCCCGCGATGAATGCACAGTCTCTTTTACTTTTGGGCGCTGCCGCTTTTGCAACGGCAACAGCAGACTACGAGTGGCTCCCCGCGGGACCAGGCGATAGTAAGTAAACCCCATCGAACATTAGCTTTTCAAACCTAATCCCCTATCCAGGCCGCTCACCCTGCCCCATGCTCAACTCCCTGGCCAACCACGGCTACCTCCCCCACAACGGCCTCTCAATATCCCAAGACGACGTCATGACTGCCCTCAACGAATCCGTCAACTTCATCGCCGACGCCCTTGGCCCCATCATCCAACTGGCCCTTACTACCTCTACCACAGGCAACGCATCAACATTCAACCTCGCCGACACGGCGAAGCACAACGTCATTGAGCACGATGGCAGTTTGAGCCGCGACGATCTTCACTTTGGGAATCAAAAGGATTTTGATGCCGTTGTGTGGGCAGAAACCGTCGCCCATTTCACCGAGGAGACTATTCCGCTTCAGACGGCTGCGAGCGCAAGGGTCGATAGACTGGCTGCGGCGCAGGCAGTGAATCCGGAGTTTAATCTGACTAGTTTGGGGCCCACCGCTAGTGTTTTTGAAACGACGTTATATGAAATTACGTTTGGGGATAGGGTTGAAGGGAATCCTCCGACGGAATGGATTCGTGTTTTCTTTGAACAGGAGAGGATTCCGTTCGAGGAGGGATATGTGAGGCCTGACAATGGGATCACGACGGAAGAGTTCAACGTCATGGCGGCGAAAATCGTGGCGTTATCTTAAAGGTTGGTATTTACATGGGGGGATTCAGGTTTGAGCTCAACATATTTGGCAGGTTTCATGGGAAAAAATCGGGCTTTAATTTTGTGTAATAATACGGCTATATAAGTCGCGATGGGCTGGTGTAGATATTTCTTGGTATTCCTAGACATCCCACTGTACTAAATTAATCTAAGCTCACGTCCCTCAACAGTCTGCACATTCGAATCGCCATGCGAATCTCCTTCATGGACACCGGTGTCGCGGTAATCGGCTCTCTGCTCCCAGTTTGCAGAATATCTTCCTGGATTTCGCCCGGTCTATGCCCTCCCGCTGCCTTAGCCAAATCCCTAACCGAGGACAATACTCGCGCGCTGTCGAAGTTGTACGCCAGGCCGGAAAATATCAGCGACTCTCCTCTTTCCAGCGACGTATCAGCACCCACGCCTGTTCGGTCGCAGATGAGCCAGATGGCTCGGTCAGGATCGAGGATATCCATGACCACAGTATAATTTGTATAGTCTTCTGCGGCTCCCTTGCCAAGCCCCCCGGGTCGTGGGCAGTGCTTCTCCAGTTTGCCAAGTCGGAAGCCGTACCGAGGAAAACTGGGGTTCAAGTCGTTATCCATAGCAAAAGGGCTGCTTGGTGCCAGTGAAAGAAAGCATGGTAGTGGGTCATCGTCTTGTAGGCCAAATCCCCTTTCCAACTCAGGGTATATGTCTGACGTTACAACGAGTCTCGAGGAGTCGTCAGCCGAAAGTATCATTTTTCCGTGTTCGACCTGACTCATAGTAGTCATGAGGAGCCACAAGTCATCAATGTTATCGAATGTTATGTATTGCAATAGTCGTGTCGCGGCCCCTGGTGATACTTTTGGAAGCCGCATTACTGACGACTGTAACATCGCGAGAATATCTGCAGGAGGCAAATCCAGATTTCTTGTCTTTGTCCATTCGTAGAACTGCCTGTATCTGGAATTTTCGAGTCTTGACATGACGGTGCACACCGCAGTCTCGGCTGCGAACTCATGGAACATTTGTTCGAGAATCCCGTGCTGTGGAAGCATTGTGACGATGTATATTGCTGCGGACGAGTTTGAAGGCTATGATGCAGTAGCGAGTACTGAAAATAACAGGTAGGTCGGGTCCTATACGTGGGTAGAGATGGGTTGAACAGGTGAAGTAAGACTTGATAGAAACGCGTTGGAGCTTTTTATGTCGGAGGAATAACATTCAGTGTACTTTCAGGGTCGCAAAATTTTATCAGTTGTAACTTAGAGGTAATCTATAAGGTTTGTGCTCCCCAAGGCTACTATAAATCCAGAGAGTTCGCATTTTCCACTGTAAGCGCAGCTGACATTTCTTGTCCTGCCAACAGCCAAACCTTACCACCAGACGCTGAATTTGTTTTATATTAATATGGATTTATTTTGTGAAAGGCGAGTGCACGCTAAAACTTTACGCAACCAAATAGCCGTATGATGATACAACCAACGGGATAGACAACTCTTAAGATGTGAAATTTGGCATATTAAACGCGACCTGATTAATCTGATACTATTGCCTCATCACGTACGGAACAGCTTAGTTCCGTCGATGTTCAATTTATGGGCACAGTCTGAGGCACTGCACGACCTCGATTCGTCACACGCACACGAGACCTTGGAGCACAAAGAGAACTTCTATGTAAATCAATTTACCCAAATACTAGATTTGCATTCATCGCTGGTACCTGAGAACATCACCACCACGACCCATACATACTTAGACCCATCCCCTCACTAGAATTTCCTACTTTCCTGCAATCACCGTGCTAGGCCCGTTGGGCGGAACCAAGGCCCCCTAATCCGTACAAGTCGGTTCCATAACAACTATTACAAGTCCTACCTAGTATTACCCCGATTTGAAACAATGCTTTTCTAGCGGCTGATAGGCTAGCAGCAGAACAGAAAAGATCACGCCGGTGTAGCACAACGCCATCTACACTCACACTTAGCTCGCTTGTTCAAGAGAATTGAACATGAAATTTTGGAGCCTGACATTGAAATCACGGCGAACATTCGAGAACACTTTGCAAAGCGGCATGCATATGTCTCCTCACCCACCACCGGGCGATAACTTGTGCTCGGATACCGGGGCCTGGGGCTGAGATGCTTGGATTCTGACAGATTGCCGGAGCATTGAGACACGATGCTATAAGTTCACAACGCGGATACCAGGATGTTTTAAAATGCATTGGTCGTAATGGCAGCGACGTTGGAATACAGCAGAACGGTTCGGGTAAATTCGGGTTAAGCAGACGGCGGCGGGAATTGAGATGTCGAGGTTCGAGTCTGTCGACTTGAGGTAGATTGTAAAAGCATCGAAAACTGTCGGTGACATGCTTAAAGGGGGTTAATATAACTTTTTGGTCCGTATGAGGAGTATTTCCGGAGGCTCTTCATGGTTGGCGTAAAAGTAGATTCGCAGCCATGGGTTCGAGTTCCGCCCTTCCCCCTCCCCCCGGCTGCGTTCCATGGCGTGGTTTTGCAATGGTGTTGCTATGGACTGGAAAATAGTGCTCAGGTGATGATGGCCATAATGAACTCGATGGCCAATGCGATGAGCACCTTATATTCTGGGAAGCCATGATTCTTGTAGAAAGTGCCAGGCATCAGTTACTCCGAAGACCGAAGTTGAGAGACGCAATTTAGACCTCGTCGAAGAACTTGGGCTAAAGGAGGCAGCGAGCAAACAGAGAAAATATCAGAATAAGATAAAACAAAGCCCTCAAATAATGTCATCAAGAAGGACGGGCGCAGACCTGGAAGTAATGCTAAGTACGTACCATACTTGCACTAGGACATTGGAAGGATGTAGCAGTTCTAAGATTGGAAGTTCCGCGGCAAGTAACGGAAAAGAAAACCAAGTTTCACTATGCTGAGTCGCCAATTGGATACTAGCTCGCAAGGAGTGGGCAGTCTGGTCTGTGACTCCTAAATGCTGTGCACGGGCACATTAGCGCAAGTTTATACTACTCATTTTCAGCCCTGTGAGGTGAGAGACATAACCGCGGTCCGCAACACTTGCCCAGCTTCCCGAGAGCCCCATTTTTATACGGGAACTTATGCAGTAACGGAACTTGGAACTTGGGCACTCGTCCTGGGTTGGAAATTCTAATACCACGGATCCAAACAATCACTTAAATCGAATAACTCCTTTTCTAGACAGTCTTATCAGCGTGCATCATGATCTCTGTGCTAAAGTCACAGATCGTCCCTCCCATCCAAGCGATTCGTTGCTATTGAAAAAGTCCGTAGTTCACATCAGCCACTCGAACCTAGAGCCTTAAACCGAGATATAATAATACGCTGAACGTGGTATTGGTGAAGGGCACGCGTGAGGACTTATCTCTACGATGTTGGTCGTGCTCAATTGGCCTTGACGGGGTTGGAGGCGTAGGCCAGCTGCTGCAGTCTCTGACCGTGCGTCGGATCATGTTCCATCAATGTCCGGCCTTGTCAGTGTGTGTTGCAGAGGTACGAATCCATTTTTGGTTCGTTCGATAAATGGACATACATCGAGGTGAAGGGGGTACAAGTATGGCAAGATGTTGCGTGTCCCCGGCACACCGCTTGTGTGCTAGCAGCGCTTGGGCCAATTGCCCTTTCGGAGCTGCAGCCTTTGGGACTTGGTCCCATCATCTTCACCGATACGAACTCTCTTGCCTCTGTTGCTCACACGAAATTATCCAGCCTGCGCAGCCGACTTGTCAAACTGTTGGATCGGGCTGTCTTGGTAGCGCTAGCCCCCAGGGTGGGATAAGCGGCCGTTACGTTGAGTGGGAGCATGGAACGAACATGGGGTCATAATATACTCAATTTCCCAATATCCAAAATGGTGGCGCACGCCTTCATCAACGGTTGCTGCAAGACCGTTGTGGTGGTACTGTTGAGTGTGGTGGAAACCAGCTCAAAATTGCTCATGGGCTGAGCCGCCGTTGGAATGATCCCGTTTGCGGGTCCGTCGAGTCGGGTAGGGTCCAAAGTTACTGTTCCGTCCCGCTATGCACGATGACACTTGAGGTGGTAAACTTTGTATCTGAAGGCCCACTTCTCATCTGCTCATCATTCTGGTTCCGGCTTCATAGAAGCATGGATGATGTAACGTTGAGAGATTTGTTAAACTGCGTGAAACGCGTATTAATCCTAAGAGATCTCGTGGGCCCGTCGCATGGTACTATTTACTCATGTTGAACATGGAAAACTACAACGTGATACTCCTGCAGAATAGTTCGGCAGAAACTGACTCAAAACTGCTCGCCTGACGAACTTGGTCTTGGCAGCTATAGGAATTCTCGGAAACGCTGCTGGTCACTTACTCAGGTGTGCGGGGTATTGACCTATAATATATTCGGGGATGGCCTTCATCATGTACAGTAGTGCCATCAGCCCAGAACCTAACTCTGCAATCTTCGTTTCAACATAATCTAGGCACCATGATGCACGATACGGGATGTATGGGCTCTATGGGCTCTATGAGCTCTATGAAGCAAGCCCACTCAACTACGGGCGGCGCTAAAACGATGGACGGTTCAATGGTCATGACCTTCTTCTCTTCATCCTCTACCCCACTCTTCTCAAAAGGCTGGACTCCGCAGACCACAACCTCATACATGGCCACATGCTTCTTCCTTGTCGCTCTAGCCTGCATAATGCGAATGCTTCTCGCCCTCAAGCCTGTGTTGGAGACTTCAATATGGTGGATCAACTCAAACTCGGATAGGATACTATTGCCCGAAGGAAACGAAGATATCGACCCGGTTAAAGAAGACATTCGACGGCTACAAAAAGTGACAAGCCAAGTCAAACAACGATGGTGGAGATGGAGGTTTTCAACAAGCCTGTCAAGAGCTACTTTTGAGGTTCTGCTGGCCGTCGTGGGCTATCTGCTGTGAGTTAATGCCTGCTTTTGTTTATTTCATGACAAGGGAGTCTTACTTACACGGTGATGCAGTATGCTTGCTGTGATGACGATGAACATAGGCTACTTTGTCTCTGTAATTGTGGGGATATTCTTGGGCACATTTGCTCTGGGGGATTTGGCGATGAACAGTTCGCTTTATGAGGAGCATCAGTGCTAAAGCTTTTGAGAGAAGCATGGGGACTCAAGCAGTGTATCGATTATCTGGGTTTTACCTCTTGATTATTGTTCATGCTTATTGTTGGACCTTAAGGCCATTACAACCGAATTGCCAGTCTGTGAGGCCATATGACCATCAGCCACCGTACCACACAATTTCTGCCTGTGGGGTCGGCATCGTTCTTTTCTACATATATAAAGTATAAGGCCCTTATGGCTACAGTACACTCTTTTGAAGAGGATCTACAGATTTCAATGCAGTACAATTTCCACAATTAGTACAATACTCATTACTACGACTCTGTTGCTGCCTCTTGCTCTGAATGGCCCACATGTATGGGCTAGGTGGGTCGTCTTTTCCACTAAAGATAGAGGAACAGGTAAATGGTCCATCTAAATATAAGGGATGTATAACTGACCAATTGCGTGCCAAGAAATTTGACTCGCCCAGCCTGATAAGTGTAAGGGCCCCCTCAAGTACTCACGATGCTACTGCTTCCGCAGGTCTCTCGCCTAGCCCTAAATCGTCCTCTCCCTCCGCGTACTTGTCTTCGTCTTCGTTTTCCTCATCGTAATCTTCCACTCGTTCTCGTCGTTGTCCTCCGATTCTTCGTCCCAATTCTAATGTAATCTTTGATCAGACCTGCGTTATTACCTTGAAAGGCGTCCGCACCTCTCCTCAAATACGTCTCGTGGACGACAAAATTTGATGGTTCGTCATAGTTCCCCTCGTGCTCCATACATTTGTCCCAATCTTGACCATTCTCTGTGTGATGACCTGGAGGACCATCTTGATACAAATGGTAATGATAGAACCACTCGATCAATTCTGGACACGACCACAGCACTTGGCCCAACTCTGACCACTTATACACGATGCAATTGGGATCCACCACGACACCGTGCTACCGCTGCACCAAGGTTTTCCGATACTTTTGAAATAACCGAACCTACCACCTGTAAGCCACGATCTCGGCCCTCTCCTACTCGATGAAGTGCACCAGTCTCGTCATCACCCGTGTTTGCAGAACAGACGACTGCCATGTACCTGGCTTATTCCAGTTCCTTGTCCCATGCCTTCTCGTGATTTTACTCGATATCCTCGGACCATTTCCTGGCCATGGCATCAATTTTGTTGAGCCTTTGATCGATCCAATGGAGAATAGAGGGCGCGAAAGCAGGGCTCGAGATCCTTGTTTGGCTTGAGCTGCTCGGGCTCACCAGCCTTGGTGCCACATGTATACACTGCTGATCGAACTCGGGCAGAGCCAGGTCGATCCAGTTTGCTTACGCGCATCCAGTTGTTCCACATATCCTCCGTGCTGGCTTTCCTGGCTGAAATGAAATGAATGACAGTATAACCGATACTACGAAGGGGACTACCTACGGTTAAATAGACTGCAAGTATGACCTTGAGGACCAAATTTTTATGGCTTGATCATACAGGCTATTCAACAAATCTAACAATTTGTTGAGGCATCCTCGCCAATTGCGAAGGTTTGGCCCTATAACCAGAACCTGATGCTTTCCCTGCAGACACCGGAAGCGACCAGCGCCGATTCTGACGCTGTAGCGGGGCCTCGGAAGCACCTTTAGACTTTTTTTCGAGCTAATTTGGCTTCCTATGCCCTTTATACCACTTGCCTTGGCGGCTGTTGATCTTCCCTGGAGCAGGATCAGGTCCTTTTGCGCCACGTCAGACCTCTTTTCCCTGCAGCAGTGCTCATGCCGTCACTTCGCCCGAAGCCGAACGCCATGATATCTTTCACCACGTTGCCGTTTGGGTTCGTTCACAGCAAACCCGTGCTATACAGGTGCTGTGTCCGAACTCTTCAGGATGAAAGCATCGACGCTGCGCTGATTCAAGATAACCCTCTCGATCCACGCCGCTGAAAGCTTCTTGGCGTGCCAGCTTCTGCGCCACCAACAAGCCACCGGGAAAAAGTTTTGAGCAGTCTTAGACTTCATAAACATGATCAGATATGCTTGCCCTTTAGGTCAGGGATAAAAAGGACTAACTAGGTTTCTAGATCAACGCCACTTAGCTCCTTTTAATTTGGACTCTTCTGAACCACTTCGGCGTTCATGCAATCATCGTCGCGGAAAGCCGGCACCTCTCGATGCTTTTTCGCCCGACGCCATTATGATTATCTTTTTTTTCGACAATGCTCGCTCCTCGTTGCTGGTATCGTTGGCGTCCCTCGCAACGTAAGATGCCGTTTTTCCTCCTGAGCCGCCTGTTCAAGGTTGGGATTGCCACAAGGGGCGCACTTATTGCCAGGGTATCATCACTATTTTGGGCTATGCGTCTTCTAGGGTCTGTCTTTGGGGTCCTGGCCTGTAGGGGAAGGGGGAAGGGAGTTTTTGGTTAAAGACCCTTCTTCACCCAAGTCGGGTCTGGTTTGGAGTCGAGGCGTTTAAAGTCTCCCTTGTTCTTCTTACAGCCAGTGCTCGTGCGGATCGAGTCCGTTAACCAGAGGTTTGAAGACTCTCATAATGTCAAAGTTCCAGCTGTCTAGGCCTTGCCCACCTACTCTCCGAAGACCGAGGCCGCATCAAGACCATTCTCAGTAAAAGATGGCACTGGGCAGGAACTGCAGCCCAATCTGGGCGATGGAAGTAAAAGTCGACTTTATAACGGCATAAACTATATTATCCGGGTGCGCCAGCGTTTCAGCAACCATGTTCGGGATGGCATCGCATAGGTCGCAGATAGACTGGCACTTTTTACGAGTTCATCTGTTGCCAGTCTTTTTCTTTAATTGCCACCTCGTATCAATTTTGCTTCCGACTGTTTGGCCTAACATGGCCTCGTAGCTCATCAATACGTTGTGTGGTTTCTTATTGGTCTTCACCCACCACTCGGTCGGTATCTTGTATCACGCCATTTCGGCTTGGTGCTCCGTAGAGCTCCTACTGTTACCTTTTGATATTGTATGCGATTCAGACCAATTCCATAGCAGACTTGGTATAACGAGGCAATTATATTTATACGCTCTCAAGGCATCACTCTACCTGACCGCCCTGGGAGTGGGGTTGAATAATATGCTAATTGGTCATTTAGTCATCTGATCCCTCGAGCTACATTGCGACTGTGAAGGAATATTTAAGTAACGATTATTGCATCCTCAAGATACACCATCCTGAGTACCCACAGTCTGCCTCATTCATATTGTACGTTAGAGTTTAAGAGCGGTTAGAGAACTTGAAAGACATTTACTTCCCACTATAACTAAGCCCTTTGATAGTAATATATGTCCCCACAAAGCTGGAATTGAGCCAAACCATTGTTTCTTTATTATTGTGTCATGACCTTATAAAGTAGCGGCCAAAATTCAAGGTTGTTGGCGAAATCTCCGCTGGATAATTGTTTCCTATGAATGAAGATACCCCCATTGGTTTGCCATTAGAGTCATTCAGCACCGTCTCCAAGCGTACTGCCACTCCTCCGTAACACTCTCCCTCGTTCCTTTCCCAAAGTACCCAGTCTGCGTTCCATTGACACCCCCTAGAAGCGCAACCCGGAAGTTAATATTCAAAAGCCCGGCGTAGCCCCTAGAATCAGTGCATGGCGACCAAATCTCGCCACCATCCGGAACCCTGATATGTATTGCGGCGTATCGATCAATGGTGGAATTGCCGACATTATTCGAGACGGAAACATGTTGTGTGCGCTGCTCGCTTGTTAGTTGTTGTCCGTCGATTCGCATATTGTCCAAACAGAAACGAGATAAGCAAGGGGGAAAGAGAAACGCACCGTATACGCAGCATTTTGACTAAAATAAGTCGTCAAATAATACTCCAACGTCGCCCCCCGACTCAATATCAAGTGGCCCGTTGTCCAAACATTCTTAACGGCGAACTGCCAGCCCGGGTCGACTCCCACGCCCTGCAGGTGCAGTTGGCAAAACGTGGTGCTTTGTTGGAACCCTGGGTACCGGGCTTCGAAGGCTCGCATTTGTAGGACGGGCTCGTCCCAGTCGTTATTGAATGTCACGGTGGTGTGGCTCGATGGGCAGCCTGTGCCGCTGGAGGAGGTGGAGATAATTCTGGGGCCCGAGTCTTGGTCGTGCCGCGTGAGGAGGGGGGCTGGGGAAGAGGTTGCGGCTGTTAGGAAGGAGAAGAGCGAGAAAAGGACTGAGATGTACATCGTCGGTGGCGGCGGATGTGCGAAGGAAGGACAAGATTTGCGGTGTGCGTCCACTTCGAATCGCCAGGATAACTTCGGAGACGCGGAAACTAGCATGATATAGTACTCGATTTTTTCGCAATAGGGTATAATTGCGAGTAATCCGTCCAGTACCTAGCCTCAATTGATACTGTAAGTCTCTCCTCCGTTGACGGCCTGGGCCGAGAATTCTCAGCTTCTAGTTGGTCCAAATGAGCCCGGACTTGCAACACAACTGGGTTACGATTATTTATCCATATTACCCCAAGCCCCGACTGCAACCGAATCCGTGGGACAGTATATTGTCGTTGCATCGATGCACATCAAATTTAAGGATTCATACTCCGTTATCGCCAAATAATTGGTTTTTACAGAAATAGAATGTTTGAGAAGGTGTAATTGAGGACATTACTCGGTATTTAGTGGGTTACTAAAAGTTCAAACGAAGTTCTAGATGCACGTACTTAACCCAGGCCACCGGCTTCAAGCGAAACAGTAGTGGCTTCTTCTCCCATGGCACGTACACCTTCCCCTTCCAGTTACGTATTTCTTGGCAACGCTCGAGATCAAAATTATAGATAGTACTTGCCAGGAGTAGACGCATCTCGTGGTACGCTGTACTATGGCAATTGTAAGTTGGTGCATTTCATCACGAGGTCATTGATGACGCATGAGGTAGGAGTGCAGAGAGGGGACCCACGGTTTGGATGTATCCCGGCTGTCACTGGCATACTCAGGGTCGTATGCACCTGATATTACGCGTTGGACTTGGCATGGTCATCTCTGTCCGTGGTGACATGGAATGGACGTTGTTCTTTGGTGGCCCAAAGAAGCGCCTATCCTCGTTGTTTTCCTTCCTGCCCTTATATAAATGACGGCCTACCGATGCGAATACAGGAGTGAGTATTCTGATGCGCAATCACTTTTATGAAACGAACTTTTCTTTCTGCTAATCGCGATGGACTTCAAGTGGTGCAAGCTGTGTATTGGTTTTGTTTCCATACAACGCAAGGCCCTGGCTTGAATTTTGAGATGAGAGCAAAAGATGAAGGGCGGAGAATGACAAGTGCCCGGTCAGTTCGGCTGTGTCATGGTGTCATCGGAACTGTGCTTAGGCTATCAAGCATATCATGAGGTTTTACGCGTGAGAGTTTGGATTCGTGGAAATGGGGGAGACCGATCGTGTAAATGTGCGATGCTCGGTTCGGGTCATATTTCTAGAAATGAGTAGTCGACCAGGTATAAACGGGCCTACTTATGCTACGGTAGCAAAACACGCTGAGGCATTTGCAGTTCGTGTCAGAACTTATAACTACCAAAAATACCTCATTCTACAGCGAGTGGGTCCCTCGTCTTTTGACGGTCAATTTGGTCCAACAGTTCGCACCGCAGAGGCTGACTCAGGACAACTCGGGAATTGCTGAGTTTCAGAGTAGCTTCGGGCCTTAGGCTCTTCAGTCTCTAACGTCTTGTGCATACAGTACCATCAATTAACTGTAAGTGATAACAGGTTTCCAGATCCCTCATGAAGCAGAAGTCTCAACTAGTAGTTGAGACAATTGCATGTGAGATGTAAAGGAATGCACTATGCGCGGACCCCAGGCTATTGTCAGTAGAGCATTTGTGCTTTCCTTGTTTTTCCAATTTACCTACTGGCACTTTCACTATGGGAAAAATATTCCTGGTTCCCCGGTCACACTCAAGTTCGGGTTCAGGTTCCCTCGGTTGCAAACCTTGATGCTTGATCTTCGACTACCCAATCCCCCTCGTTAATTTGGTCGGTGCTATCTCATCATCGTTGGAAAAATTATTTGTATGTGCTGGTCAGTCGGAGACCAGGAGACAAGATGCCTAACAATATGCCCGACAAGGTGAGTCCAATTAGAGACTGCAGGGATCTGACTTCAGTGCTAATGGATCTTGACAGAAGTCAGTCAACTTTCTCAGCTTGCCGCCTGGGATGTGCCACACAATCTACCGCCTAGTCCTTGTGGGTCGGAAGGGGCCCTGGTCTATCCCCATCTGACGTTGTCCTCGCCAGAGCCAACACGCTCATGTTGAGCTGTTGATAATCTTCTGCGCTTATAACAAGTTTGAAATCGACATTCGTCGGGACGAAAATGCCGTCAGTTACTGATCCGTATGTATGAGGGCCTTAAAGACAACGTCAAGTATTTCAACGATATCACTGCCCTTCGCAGCAGCACACCCAGGAGGAAGCGACTGGAACGACGCCAAGGAGGTAGAGGTTGAATGTATCAACATACTTGAACTCAGGGCATATAATGGAGACACATGCATGATCGAATTGTACGGACAAAAAACGATCAATTACGTCATTTACACCTTGTTTCACCTGGCGAAACAATGTGGTCGAGCCGATAACTACGCTCTACCTGTCTGGAGCCTGTTTCCCAGAAATGGACACTGGTTTTATTATTGGCTTGATACTCCAGACGTCAATAAGTATATTTTAAAGCGATCGAGAGGCAATTTGACTCCATGTATGCCGGCCAGATCTCGAGATTGAACACTACAGCACATGCACATCCTTCAAAAACCGCAACTAGCATGTGCTGAGAGGCGGTAGCTATGGAAGCTATTCTGTTAGGGATCCCGGGAAATTATGGGTTTTTATAGAAGACCTGTAATTAAGAAGAGAATCCCGCGTCGTCAGATGTGCTTGCTAGACAGATCATGGGATTGATCAATGTAGCATATGAACATTTCACACTGCATCTGACGTATCTTTGCTCACACTACGTGCACTATAACGCCATTGCTATACGGAACACTCTCGTCTTAAGCAGAATTCTCCTATCTACAAATGATTCGGCGAGTAAGGTCGTGATTGCATATTCTAATGCTTAACACGTTATACCGACAGGGAAAGGCGCATGGTGGCCTATAAACACATGCAAGAGCAAGCCTAAACCATGGCCACCAACAACGCGTCAAGACATGACACATTCAAGATGCTTAAAAGCGCCTCCACGAGCAATTCAAGATGCTTAAAAGCGCCTCCACGAGCAATTCCATTAAGGGCTTCCTTCATTTTCCAAGTCACTCGCTCATATCAAGTCCACAGCAAGCATATTTCCTAATCACCAACTTGGGCAAAGCCTCCTTCACTCGCTTGTCACAATGGTTTCCGTTCGCTGTTCCCTCCTCTCGATGCAAACCTACGTCCTCCTCACCAGCGCATTCCCCATCCCGTACCATTTTAGTCCTACCAGTGATGCCACACAAGCCGTAAACCCAGTCGTCACCCGCACGATAACCGGCGAAGGTGCGGTAACCATTAACATTTACGGCAACAACACGAAAGTCGAGCTCGTCGAAGAAAAAACCCAAACTCCGCCGAGCCGCAGGTCCCTCAACCTTGGTGTTGGTGGCAGTGAATCGAATACCGAAGCCGCGTACGAACGTATATCTACACCTGAACTTGTTGAATACCCACCGGTCCGTCGCCACGGTGAATCAAGACGATACTCTATATCGCCTCCGGAAATGGTTGCCAACAATAAAGACAACAATCTTCACCCCATCACGAGAAGAAGCAATGGGACAGAAACGGCGGCAACCAAGATCCTGGTCCCAGATGGTGTCGGTGCCGGTGCGGAGCTGCTTTCCGAAACTCAAACTCTGAACCGCACGAGTGTGACGTCAGCTTCGAGCGACTCAAGCTCAAGCTCTCCAAGTGTGGAGAAGCTATTAGAGCTTCAACAATTAGACCAGGATGAGACTTCGCAAGATACGACGATTCAATTCAAGATTTTTGGGTTGTCGACTTTGGTTTTGGATATGAGCCATCATTGACAATAAGGGGAAGCCCGCAAACGGCATGCTGGTTGAGAGATGCAGATATTTTGTGTGTGCTTTCACAATTTGTACTTACTCTATGGATTCGATGGGTGGTTCGTGGGCTCGTGGTTATGGGTAGGCTTTGTGGCATCCCTTCCCGCGTCTTACGTACATTATCTCCAGCACCTCGATGTCAAGTATGGTGAGTTACTTTCGGACGAATCTAGAAAAAATCGTGTGCATACTTCAAAGAAGCTCCAACCTGTCCAAGCTTGTACCGTCCGATATTGACTGGCTGATAATGTTGTCATTGGTTTACAAATACTCGAAGTATATAAAACAAGTTCATCTGGGCAACCCTAAAACAGTGCACTGACTCGAGATTATCGGGATGGTGAACTAACCTCCACTTCCCGCCGGCGTTGAATCTTCCGGCCTCCTCCTCAAAACCAGAGCGCAGTTCTTTGGGATTTCAGAATCAATCCGATCAACGCGCTCTTTGTATTATAACAACCCCTTTGTAGTACAGCAACACCATCACTCATTCCCGGGAAACATGTCGTCCTCAGAAAAGAACCCTAGCACAACGTCAATGACGAGTACCAGCAATGGCGGCAAAGGTAAAATCACCCTAACGGGTGCCCAAGAAACCCTCTTCATCACGCTCCTCAGTCGCGCCAATGACGCCCTGTCGCCACACTCCATCCTCAACGACCAAGACGCCGTGCGGGTCGTAACCCTCGTACGTGAAAACGGGTACGACTTCTCGCGTGCCGAGCATCACGTATTCGGCCTCAGCTGGCTCAGTGGTTGGTCCGCCTTGCTCATTTCGTTCCGCGCGAGGGTTTTGGATCGTTACACGGAGCAGTTTCTTGCTCAACACCCAACTGGAAAGGGAGATGGAGTGACCATCTTGCATTTGGCTTGTGGATTGGATGCTCGCAGTCGCCGCGTGAAGTGGAGGGGGGACGGGAATCTGTTTGTTGATGTGGACAAAAGCGATGTTGTTAAGCTGCGGCGGCAGATGGGGCTGGATCCCGAGCCAAGCAGCGGTAAGCACAGTGGAAAGTACCAGCTGTTGGACCCGAATATTACTGAAGACGGGTGGTTGGAAAAGTCCGGAATCCCACGGAATAAGCCCGTGCTAGTGATTATGGAGGGCTTGACTATGTATCTCACTCCGGAGGAGAATTATACCTTGATACGGGGGATTGTGAAGTACTTCCAGAAGGGAGGGGAGATCAGGTTTGATGTCTCCGGGTCGGTGACCAAGTTCATTTCGAATAGGGGAGGGGTTTTGAAGGTCATGGGCACGAGTCTCAGATCGGCGCTGAATGATCCGCGGGCGTGGGAGAGGAACGTGCCTGGGTTGAGGTTTAAAGATTGGATGACGATGGTAGATTTTTTGGATTTGGGAAATCCGCCGTGGATCTTGAGGCTGGCGTTGCGGGTGTTATTTGCTTTCATACCACTTTCGTGGTTTGGAAACATTTATGGGTTTACATTTTAGTTTGTGTGCATGTAGGGGAAGCGTTCTAGCGTAAAGGTATATATTCATCCTGTGTGGAATGTTGATCTCACATGTACGTTCGTAATAAAGTATTGGAATGTAGTTCACATAAGTGTATGAAATGCACAGTCAGTTGTTTCGTTTGATTTGAGTCCACCTGCGCCGCATTCAGCGCATGCCTATTCGCCGACTGGAGTTCCACTTCCCCATCCGGATTCAACGATTTCAACATCGCCGGGTCATCAAAGTTCCAATCCTCGCCTTCCCATGAGTCTCCATCGTGAGTAGAACCCTGCGAGTCGTCATCAAGAACAATGAAGTTTTCAGGAGCGTTCACGGAGGTTTCATCAACATCAGGAGGCTGTTGTACGTCCTCGACTTGGATGCCATTCTTCCTCTTTCCTGCATCCGCCCGCGCATATTGGTCGAACCCGGCGAGAAACTCTGAAGCATCGCGACCATCCTCACCGAGGTGTATACTATTGCTTCCTCTATTGTAGTACAGGGGTATGGTCCGCGAGTCATAGGCGACTATCTTCCTTTTGGTCTTGTGGCGCTTGCTCCGTCGCTCGATAGTCAGGGACGTATTGTCTCCACATCCCACTAGAGTCAGCGTAAAGTACCACCACCCTTTCGTCGGTTGGCCGAGGTAGAGTATGTCGTAGCACTTGTTGCAGTGCATGTTGTCAGCATTGTTTCCGTCGTCAAAGAAGGGATCGCAGACGATTTTGAGCTCGTCACGACCTGTGACGTTTATTTTAAGATCTTTGATCTGCCTCCGCTAGGCGTAGTATGAAGTCAGTCTCTAAGCAAGCGACTGGATAAAAGTGCTTCTACAAGTAGGATACACGCACCTTGCTCATAAGAAACATTGCTCTGTCGTCCCATTCGTTTTCCGCGTTGCTGTTACCACGCGTTGCGTGCTGCCGCATCTGGAGACCAAATGCAGCACCCCGCCGCATGAACTGATCTACCGTCAGGGGGCGGGCAATGGCATATGCGGCACCCATGGCAATCTTCACTGAGCTATGCGGATAGAGGTCAGCATGCCGATGTGGTGTTTCTCGGGGCCAAGAACTCACTCATACTGCACCATGATGTCATCAGTAAAGACTGGGTCCGGAAGCCCACTTGATTGACACAGATCTCTCAGCTGACTTTGAAGACCTTCATGTTTCGATGTGCCTCCCGCCACGATCACCCTTGGCTGGGCTCTTTGCCGCCGGTGCCTGCCTTTATTAATTTCTCCGTCTGCTTCGTGTCTGTCGTTCTGGGATCTGTACATCTTCGCAAGTTGCTGTATCTTCTCAGTGGCAAGCGCCAGTGGCTCTTTCAGTGCTTCATTGAAACATGATGTGATTTTTTCGGGACTCAGAAACACCTGCCAGGGAGTGCCGGTCTGTCCTATCACTTCGAGGTCAAAGTTATCCGGTTGGCCAGGACCGAGTCCACTCTTCTGCCGGTTGAAATCGTCGAGGATGGATTGCTTGGCCTTGGCTGATAGGGTTTCGCCAGGGGCTTGTTGGATCAGTTCCAGGCAGGTTTCGCCGATGAGGTATTCCCATTGCTCACTGCCACCACCCCTTCCTGTTCGATGACATTAAAAAGGAGGAAGGGTGGAAGGGCGCAAGGGGGATAGCTACCATCGGGTTTACCTATGAGATAAAAGCTTTGAGTATTACCTCTACCATAAACAATGTTGAAGACACACGTGTTCTGAGAAATAGTCAGTTTCTGGTGTTGGTCTGTGGAGGACAAAGGCAGTGTCGTACCATGTTGTGGCCCCCAAAGTCCAAAACCAACACAACATCGTGGTGAATGTGATCCCGATTTTCCACCAAGTGATTGCGGTGGTCGATGTCGGTGCACAAAAAGTGGGCAAGTGCTTCCGTCTCCGTGATGAAGAAGATATCTTCCGACGGATGATGGAAGGCTTCAGCAACAATGCCCCTGTACAGGTCCTCGAAGTCGAGCTCCCATTGAGATGGGATGGAGAGTCCGATACTCATGACTCGGAGGCGCATGACGCCGCATACTTCATTGACCCGCCGGAACAACCTGGAAAACAGGTCCATCAGACCTTGCTTCAAGCGGTCCAGAAACTTTTGGTCGTTTCTCCGACGCATCAATGGCTCGGCGAGTCGGTATTGCTCAATGAACTCGTCGGACCCATCCACAAGGGGGTAGAACGCATATTTCAGGGAAATGGACTCTCGTCTCGGGTTCACTTTTTCCCCCATGTATATAGGTCCGTCTTCGTCGAAAGGATATCCCGTGGATGAGAAGTCACCTTTGTCGAATCGGCTCGTGAAGTTTTTCTTGTCTCTATTCTCCACATTGAACCCCTTTTTAAGTGCTAAACACCAAAGGTAGGCGCGGGTACTCGTGCTTCCGAAGTCGATGCCGAGAGTTCTAGGCGTAGCACATAGTTAGTTAGTATCATCAGATGTTGTACCATGGAAGATTTACGCCTCTTTTTCCTTTTCCCACGACATGGTGAGACTGGGAGCCGCAAGCCCACGGTTTTCTCAACGGAGTTGAGAAGATTCGATATGCTATGATGTGCATCGTAATAACACGAGATATACAGAGGTGACAAGTGATTTATATACAGTTACATGCAAAAGTAATAGCATGAAACAGCATGTCCAAAGCACCGTTCTGTTGAGGATGCACGGTTTGTGTAACCTTCCATTTCGCGGGCTGAGAACGTTGGTCTTTGAAGTGGGGTATCTATCATGTTGCGCAGATTGCGCTTCATCCAAAGCGATACTATCATATCAGTAAGTACCCAAAGGTAGCTGTGCCGAAGACTTGAGTTGGATCATATACACGTTTTCAAGTCACGAGTTTCGTACCAGGACGTTACCAATACATCTGAAAAGCGTCTAGGATACTGCGAAAATTTCCGCGACGGATTTTATCATGGTTCAACAATGTCTCCCCTGCTCATCTAACACCGTTCTCTAAACCTTGCACCTCAGGTGCAAATCGGATGCTGTTCCGGTTTCCGCGGCAGTGTCGATTGGTAGGGCACTAGGGTTGGTGATGAAATGAAGGTGGCTGAACTAGTAGGCACATCACATCCCTGTTCATGGATTTCCATGCTGTAGGCTGTCGAAATATATCAGTTGTCACTTTACGCACCGAAATCTTGCGTGCTAAAATTCATGACCCCAGACCCAAGAGTGGTTGAAGTATGTGAATCCCAAATACAGACCTGGAGAGGAGTCCTGGTGTGCTTCGTCGATCAATAACCACAACGAACCCGTCCACAAATTGGAAGTTCATTCGTAACAGAGATCGGATAGGCCGTTGCATATGTTGCTGATTTTGTAAAACAATAGATGCAGGAACCCATGTCGATTGCCATTTTGCCTGGTTTGCATGAGGTGTTTGGACCCCAGTATCCCATGACAACACACCATGCGGGACAAGCATGGGTGTTTGGATGAAGATATGCGATGATTTGATACTCTCTCAGCCTCGACTACCATGTCCAATCAATCGAGCTCTACCCCATGAATTTCGAAATCAAGAGCAGCCCCTGGAATCATGATTTCTTTCAATCCACGCTCATCCATTTCCTCTCCTCTGCATACCAGTAACAGCTCACTCTTTCGTGTCCGGCACTACTCGTAACTTCCTTGCGTTTACATGGGTACCAAAAATTTTGCAGCAGCATTCAACCATGGAACCGCAGAAGAGGCAGCATACCAAAGAGGCCAGGCTGAGCTGAGCCATATTATGCGGTCGTGGACGGCAACTAAGAACGATCTACTCGAAAACATCCTCGGAGCCATTAGGCAGTACAAAGCTGAGTGCGAGGAGCTGTTGCTTCAACGAGCCCAGAGAATCCAAGAGATATCCGCTTCTTTCCCACATGTTGGCGAGGCTCTTCAACAGGAATGCAAGATCCCGCATGCCGACAACAACGGCATTTTTGATACTCATGGTATCATCTTCTCGTTTAGACCCGATGAGAACAGAAACAGCTTGCCGGCGTTGTCCACAACCCCTATTTCGTCTTCGTCAGATAACGCGAATCCTAAGGCAAGTTGTCCTCGTCTCAGTTCGGTCTTCCACTCTGACCTGGCGAAGTTGTCTCCTCTTACCCCGATTCTTCAACCCGAAACCTCGGAGAAGTTTCAGTCCAACGCTTTGCCTCCCCAATCCAAATCCTCTCGGCGCAGTGCTGCCAAGACACGTCACGACGCATCACGCAAAGTTCTCCGTCCCAGACAATCAGCCACCAATCCCAAGTCGAACACCGCTCTATCTCAACCAGCCTTCGAAACCCAACAACCCCCCATCAAGACATCCGAAGTATCCAAAGGCAACTACTGGATCTTGGGGTACCCCACCCGGTCCAGCAGCGCCTTGTACATAATGCGATGCCCATCCGAGACGTGCGAGCATCCTGTGTTCTCCAAACACCCGCTGTGCCAGAATAGGGCGGCGAATCATTTACGGGAGTGCGGTCAACCGTTTAAAGATAAGAGAGATATGGTGAAACGATATGCCCGACTGGGTAAGTGACGCTTTCCATCGATATTTGATGCCTATGTGGGCAATTGGAAGATGAATAGAACGTATTTGCTAACCTGACACATTCAATACAGTTGTACCGGACCGGAAAGGGAGAGAAGTTAGGCGGCCTTGGGCGAGGGAACATAATCGGAAGTTGCTGGCAAGTAATGAGCTGCATCTTCAGGAGGAGAACCTAGAATAAGAGAGTTTTAAAGTACCCTGTTCATAGATGGAATCCATGCGAATTTCTTAGCACTGCCTAAATGATGAATGGAAGGCACCATGTGCAATTACAAGTGTGGCAAGCACGACTATGAGATGAAAATGAGGAAATTCTAAATCCATCCATTCACCAAGTACTCATTTGATTAGATCCAACTTCAAGTGCGCTAAGAGCTCATCCAATGATAATCCTCTAGTAATGGTATTCTCGTCTGGCACTGGCCTTCCTGTGATCAAGATAAAACACATTTTGTGATCAAACACAACATATGTGCATTGGACCCTAGGCCATCATTACATGAGAGAGGGCCAAAAGGCCACAATCCATCCGGTCCTGTGGAGTTACTTGAGCATTTCACTTTCGTTGCCTTGCTGGCAAGGTGTCCGTTTTCAACTTTCGCTCAGCTTAACTGCGTTGTCCACCACTGATCAATCTGCCAACTACCATTCCCTATCACCCTTTCGGGAACATGCTTTCGGGAACATGTCAGACCTTCTAACTAACAACATGTCCACATTCTGCAGCGAGCGAGTCCCTCATATTTTGACGGTCATTTGGTTTAATAGAACACCATCCTACCGGTAACCAAATTAAGAGTGCATACAGCATAAGTACTTCAGCTTCGCTTACGCGATGAAGCGCTTAAACGACCTTGTCCACAGTTAAGCTGTTGTGGGCAATACATAATGCAGAGAGACGTGTATTAGGGCAAGGACGGGGGATGTTCGGGTGTGTATGTACAGCAGGCTGCGGACTTAAAGCGAAGGAAGGGCTAGAATTGTCAGTCGCAGGTAGTCCGTGAGTGGCCACTGCCACTTGGCTTCAGCCCATCAGCACTAGCCTATATCACATCACAATACATCCATCTCTATGTGTGCCCCAACAAAATAGAGCAGAGCGCTTTAGCACTGAAGGCGCCGAAGGCGGTCAACAGCTATAACTTCTCCTCACAAGCCGATTTAACCAGTACATAGAAGATCCAGTGGTTTTTGTAAGGAACCCGTTCAGTACTTCTAGGCGGAAGGTATTAGACTAGCTATATATTTTTGCGGGTGGGTAGCCCTATTATTAGTTTTGTACTCCCCGAGTACATAGTGAAGCAGGTCGCCGAGGGTATTTTTGATGTCATTAATAACGCTTGTTGCAGGACCCGCCCAGAAACATATTGTACTTCAGAGGGCTGAAGCTCTCTGTGTCGTATTGATTTATTGATTGCTATGTCTGCTCTACGCGTTGTGCTGTGTTCGTTGGTGGAAGTGCTCTTATTCTCTATGTAGAAGGAAGGACAGACCCACTAAGTACACTTGCCGTTACACCGCGTTCGGCCTAGAGCGTAACTGTGGCGCTCACTCACAGAACTTATCTTTAACGCGAAGGAATTGTAAAAGTAATGGTTTGTAAATATATTCTGAAAGACTTACCTCAAGTGGATTGATTGATTGATTGATTGAAATTTAACATCTCATCACGTGAGACGTGCCGGGCGCAGTGCCGGCATGGTCTATGCTAGTCGAATCTATGTTACAGGGGACTGTCTTCATCTAACATTCCTGTTCAGTGCGATGGGCAGATCTCAGTAAAGAAATTGGTCTCCTCCGCCCATTGACAAAACAAACGAGCTCCCTTGGCCGTGCCTAGGAGGGAATCTATACTATTCTTGGCCATATGCGCTTTTAGATGACCGGGCGTGGCCTTGCGGCCGCGCTTGCAAAAGTAGAAGTGGACTGGTGTCTTTGTCTTTCCACACCCGCAGTTGAGCAGTGCGTCGCGATGCTGGAGTCTCTCGTGGTAGGTCACGAAATCCCCGTGGTGCGACCTCGCTGCGAGTAATCTGCCTAGGTGTTGCCGGGGCAGGCCAAGTTCGGGGGGTCGCGGGTGGATAGCGATCCCTAGATCTCGATACTGTTGAGGGCAGGTAGTGGCCCATCGATCGTTGAAACTCTTCCAAGTGTAGGATCTCGCGATTCTCTTTATATGTGCGAATGAGGCCGGGTGTTGTGTCTTGGGTAGTTGCTCACAGGCCGCTTTGGCCTGTACCTCAAGTGGAACTATATAAATTTACCGAATAGCTGTGGAATTGGTGGCCTAAGGTCACGTGGGATACGGGCAAGATACTTAAATGCCTTTGTGCGGCTTGGACCCCCCCACCTGTACTTCCCTTCGTATGTAGCCGGAATGCCAGTACCAGTGCGATCCCACAATAGCTGGACGGATAACTTACTAGTTACTAGTAGCTTCTAGAAGTGAAGTACATTTGGCTGAGAGTAAGCCGCAAGACCCGACAGAGTTAGATACCAGATTAATTATTGCGGATACCCGGATACCTTTACAACGGTAAGTCAACCCACCCATCTGCGGCCACCCTACTCCGCGACGCGACGCGACGCGACCCTACGCATCTCCACTATAATCGCACAAAGTGTGGCCTGTTGAACGAGGACAAGTAGTTGGGATTGGCTGGTCGGATGACGACAGAGAAGTGTGTGGTTGTGCCGGAAAGCATAGCACTCAACGCGTTTGTTGTTCGAGTTGATGATGAAGGGACTGTGAAGGTCAACCCTCGCAGACTCACTACAACCAGGTGACTTACAGCTGGAACACCTGCCGTGGCAGTGCCAGATGGGAAGCCAATCATAACCCTTGTAGGAGCCCCGCCAAGCGTGGATGACTTAGTCGCGCTCCCTCAAACCTAAGTTGTCATCTTCTTTCCTTCGCTCCTTAGAGTAGAATCTTCGTCGATAGCACCTAATCGAGGTCTCTACCAATGCGATGCAACCCAGGTCGTGACAGGGACTACCTCCCAAAGGCTGCAGCTACGCGACTACTATTGGCATCTGGCCTGAGCGCTGCACCCAACACATCCGGTGTACCTGAGGCACGCAACATAAAAGGTAGTGACAATTGAGCCATGCGTGCCTAGGCCTAAAGTTCATCTGACCACACACTAGACTTAAAACTCTGGGCAGTTTTCGTATGTCGACATACTTTTGATACCACTACTTATCACCATTGAAAATATTTTTTGTGCAATACAAATTGAAGTCAAGCAGTCACGCCGTCAGTCCTGGCCGTATGGGGGACTTCAAACACTCAAAATTTGTTGGCCATTCAAACTTGATCGCAAGGATTTTGACTGGTGCATGGATCCGAGTACCATACAATAACAATCGACTGATCAGGCTCTAAGTTCATGGATTTCGTCGTAAATGACGATGAGGTGGAGAATACATTTAAGCGCCTGAGCAGTTGCCTAGATGAAAGACCGTCTACAACCAGGATACTCTGTCCCGGCCAGATATGGCATCCATAGCTCAGAGACAAGTGCGGAGATCGATTAAGCAACAATTTGGAGTTCCAGTCAAGTTGAAAAGGATAACTTGGAGTCCGATTCGCAATCGCTTACTATTCTACATCTTGGACCATCCTGTGGCGATCGCTATACGGATTGCAAGGTGTAGAATAGTACGAGCTCACACATTTACAAAATGAGCGCAGATAAGCCCTTAGGGGCGTTGTTACCTTTGCTAAACGCGTTTGGAAGGAATTACCGCTCGATTCTGATGTATTTAGTTGAAAATAGCGTTGTGAATAGCTTCAACTTTGCTTGTTATGCTGTTACTGATCATCCTCTTATTCTGCTAAAAATGGTGGCCCGCTAATGGGTGTGGCCCGCTTATGGGTGGATTACGTTAACTCGCACGCTATTACTTATCGCTCATGTGAACTAGATGGATATTACGGATGCGCATGCTGCTCTCGGCCTGGAATAGCTGATGTGCGCCGGTTTCGTTCGGTCTTCGTTGAATATCCCCGTCTGGCATTTGTCACGACCTGGGTTGCATCGCATTGGTAGAGACCTCGATTAGGTGCTATCGACGAAGATTCTACTCTAAGGAGCGAGGGAAAGAAGATCACAACTTAGGTTTGAGGGAGCGCGACTAAGTCGTCCACGCTTGGCAGGGCTCCTACAGGGGTGATGATTGGCTTCCCATCTGGCACTGCCACGGCAGGTGTTCCAGCTGTAAGTCACCTGGTTGTAGTGAGTCTGCGAGGGTTGACCTTCACAGCATTTCGCTTCAACCCAGGGCGTCATGGTAGCTATAGGATTTGCTCTTATATATGGCAGAGTAACCAATCGATCGGATACCGGTCCGGACCGGTCCGATATTCCGATATCGATACCGATCGGTAGCACATTTTGTTCATTAGATCAATACCGGTACCGGTATATCTGAGATCCTGCTCGATCGATCTGACCGGACCGGTTATATGGAGGATTCTGAGGGCATCGTGACCCTTGTTGTTGACCCTGGTTTTATCTAACCTAATACGGTTAGGCGTTGTTTTAGGTAGGAAAAGTGAATAGCTGAGTTGGCGTGAGCATTATATGGCTAGGTTGAGGAAGCCTTGGGAGGGTGACTATAAAAATAGGTAAGTATAATATCTAGATAACTGTTCATCTCTAACTGACCCTCGTCTAGGCCCCTTCCTGAGACCAACCCTTTAGCTGAAGCTGAGAACCAGCCAGTCCTTACGATGCTTCAACGCCGCAAGCGTTTTTATATGAGCGACGCCGACTCCGAGGTCCTTGATTCGCAAAGTACACAAGATACACAGCCAATAGCAAAGAGAATGAAAGGAAAGGGCAGAAACACCAAGCCGGTGCCGATTAGGCAGGAAGAATCACAACAAGACGAGCTTGACCTCTACCTGGCAGAACCTGTGGTTAACGTGGTGGCGTGATATTGGCGCAAAACGTTTCACCAAACTGTCTTATATGGCTGTTGACTTCCTTACGATACCTTCAGCGCAAGCAGAAACAGAACGCCAGTTTAACAGCGTAGGAGAGATGGTATCAGCACGAAGATCTCGCCTAAAACGCCACGTTATTGGGGCATCACAATGTATCAGGTCATGGAGTTTAGCAGGCGTTTATCAGGCTGAGTTGCCACTCCATATGCTTGACAAGGTATCAAACGTTGAATTGGATGGTGAGGTTTCACGCGAATTAGCTAATTGGGCGCAAAACCGTTAAAAATAAACAACTCCGTACAACCGCTATTGATCGATCCGACCTCTATCTGACCGGACCGGCTATATGTGATCGATATCGATCGATACCGTTTGCTTAGTAATCTGTACCGGTACCGATCGGATGAATATGATGTTGATCGATACCGGACCGGTATCGGTATCGGTGAAGAATCATGATCGATATCGATCGATTGGTCACTCTGATATATGGTCCAGCCACGCTATCTCTCGGCGAATGTTTCAAGAACAGTAACCGAGCCATGGCATATGATATCATATCGTGTAAAACATCGTTGGTTCAGTCTAAATGGAGGAATGAATGGCCGCTTGCTGTATTAATTCTACGAGGGGGACAACCTATGGTTAAAGATACTGCAAATATGAAGTTCAGAGCCAAATTATTATGGTGTGATCACACAGGCCTTCCAGCACGTCACTTCAACAGATGCTAATACCTGTTGAGGCTCTCAGGAAATTTACGAATGTTTGGCCCGTAAAACAATCTTAACAGCCACTAAGTTAACTATAGAAAGAAGGAGGGGCTTATTATAGAAACATATAGCACTTACATATAATACACCAACCGCTGAATAAAGTGTTTCATCCCTCCGTCTAGCATGATTCACACCCTAGCATGTTATGGATTTACTTTACTTTTGCTCCTACATCACAACGTTATCATTTGCTGCGAATATGGCTTCAATACAAGCAAAATTCGTTATACCCTAATCATATCATATCCACTACCATATTTCTACCATGGTACCCCTCCAGTCCTTCAGCGGTGGCAAGGGCTCCGCAAATTGGCACCTGACGTTGAAGCTAGTGGCAAGGACAGTTATAGCGTAAGCATCTCGACTCATGAACACAATTCACATAGAATATCATGCATATTAGCAGCTCAGATACATGCCCGCTGCTATCATATGACTAGGTGGACCGCTCGTAACCGGCAAAATATTAGATGAACCATCTTAGTTAAACATCAAAGATGGTATCAGATCACCATACCAGTTGATATTACATCTGTATATGTTATTCAATATGATAAGTCTGCCACTACTAACCCCACATCTACAACTCCGGTTCCCCCGCCGCCTCCGTACCACTCAAGCTCCCATACTCAATATACCCATTCGTCCCCTCCATGACATGCAACCTTCTCGCCCCCTCCACCCCCTCCGTCCTCACTGCTTCTACCGTCCTCTCATACCACTCCTCCGCATACGCCTCTGCATCAAAATTCAACAACCAAGCCTCTCTCCTCAACCTTAAACTCTCCGGGTTCTCCCTCGCGGCTGCGAAGTCCGCCTTGTGCCATATATCCCTGGTCTGTTCGCCCGTCTTCTGGGCGCTCTTGACTCTCTCATATCGTATAGCCTCAAACCCCTCCAGTGCTTCTTTGATATTGTTTTTCCCCGCCTTCCGTAGACACACCGCTATCGTCGCCCCGTCTTCCATAGCCTGGCTTGCGCCCTGAATACTTGTCGGTAAGAAAGGGTGCGCTGCATCCCCTATGAGCGCCACTCTCCTCTTGGGACTAATCCATGTCGGCAGTGGATCACGATACACCAATTTCCAATCCACAAGCGGACTGGGCGTTCGATTAAGAATCTTCTGCACAAGGGGGTCCCACCCCTTTAGCACCTTCCTCGCGTCCTCCAGCGGCGCCTCCCACTGCCAGCTCTCCCCAATATCCGCCTCATCCTTGTGCGTACACACCCATGAGAAGTTCTCGCCATTCAGACTGGCAGCAATGAAATGCACATCGGGCCCCAACCAAGCACAGTGCTTATCCCCCTCCGCAATCAACCAATGCAAATCGGGCTCCTTGAGCAACTCCTCCGTTCCGAACCAAGTCCGATACACGGCATACCCGCTCGCTTTGGGCTTATCCTCGTACCCCAACACCGTCGTCCGGCCCTTGGACCGCACCCCCTCAGCTGCGAGCACCACATCCCCCTTCACCTGTTCCCCTCCCTCGAGCAACACCCCCGCCCCAGACTCGTCCTCAAAGTAATCATCCACCTTGGCCCCCAGCCGGACTTCAATCCCCAGCTCCAGCGCATGCTGGAACACAATCTCGTGGAACTCGCCCCGGTGGCCGTCAAACCGGATGCCCCACTCTTCTTCTTCGCGGCTCCACATCTGCTTGTACAGCGTCTCGCCCAGCCACGACTTGATGGTCATGCCATCTGGTCGCAGGGCGCGGGGCTCGAGTTTCTCGGCTACTCCTGGCCATCGCTGGAAGATGCGCGATGAGTTGGGCGCAAACGAGATAATGTCTCCCAGAGGTTTGAGCTCGGGAAATTTCTCGAGGATGATGGGGGTGTGCCCGTGGCGGTGGCATTCGATGGCTGCTGTTAAGCCGGCGAAGCCGGCGCCTACTATGAGGACGCGGATGCCGCTTGGAGTTGGGGGTGCGTTTAATGCCATTTTCTTCTCTTAATTTTGCTGCTGCTTTTAAATCTCAAATATCGCGGTTTGTCGAGGAACTTCGCCAAACCCAGATGCTGTTCTAGACGCAGCTTGAAGTATTGAATACAAAATAACCAAAATAACAGATTGATATGATACTTCCCTCGCTTCGACAGTCACGGCATCCCGACGTCTGCCGTTATCAGGATATGACACCGCGAGAACGTATTGTTGTCATATATCATATTTTGCCGGTCAATGTTACATACCCGGCAAACGATGGCGTTGCAGTGAGCGGCTCAATCAACATTAGGCAACACGGCGCCTATGCCTTCCCCGCACTTGAACCACACGGTAGTTATTCTACGATCGGCCCTCTACCACTACAGCTGATAGTTCAGTGAGGAGAATCCTGGGTTAAACGATCATGCATCAGCAATTTTGTTGTTTCGTCATGCGGGGGAGGGTACCAATCGGGAAATAGTCGTGTCTTGTAGGTAACTTTCCGCGGCCCACGATAGCAACGTCGTACGAAGCATATTGTGCGATTCCCGACTAACCGTGGGAGATGGTACTGGTTCAAGTATGAATTAGAAAGGTTTATGCGGATGGGCAGATGAGTTTGCCCTGGGGTACTCTCGCAAAAGAGTTCTGGCTTAAGTAGTGAGCCCCTTTCATCTGGTATCGGCAGTAGGAACTTTGTGGCAGCATTTTCACGTAGCTTCCTAGTCGTGAATCTGCAGCTAGCAATGCCTTGGGGTATCTTGGAGGACAAGCACATGGAACATGTGCCTGGCACAGGTATGCCCGCTTCTTTTGCGTGGATCATGGTAAAGGAGCTTACTGACGATCGGCATCTAGTCGTCCTCGCTGACCAGTCCGATGTGCCACCCGAATTCCAAGATGTCCCCCGAGAGATACTCAAACACGCATCGGACAGATACTCCAGTGTCATTTTGGTTCCACAGCCAAGCGACTCTCCAAATGATCCTCTGAATGTCAGTTCCCTCTGCATAGCCTAGAAGAGACCTGAATATGTGGAACTCACGGTCCAAAGTGGCCAACATGGCAGAAAGACGCCATCCTTGTCATCGTCGGTCTCTCGGCCGCAGTGGTAGGCGCATATGGCCCAATGCTGTCACCCGGGTTCGTTGAAATATCCGCGGCTCTCGGCATCACTATCAACACGCTATCGCAAGCGACAGCATGGGTCATCCTCTTGATCGGCATCTCGTTGTTCATCTTCAACCCACTTGCTAAGAAGTACGGGAGACGACCTGTATATGTGATTTGCAGTATCATCATGCTATCGGGTAGCCTCTGGGGCGGGTTTGCGAAAGACTACAAGAGCTTCCTCGGTAGTCGCATATGGAGCGGACTCGGCATGGCGCCATACGAAGTACTCGTCCAGTGTACCATTGCCGATATGTACTACGTACATCAGCGGGCAACGAGAATCGCAGCTTGGAATATGTTTCTGTTATGTGGTATTAGTGGCGGTGCTCTCATCGCGGGGTACATCATTCAGGTTAGCTGTTTAGCTTTCTTCGCAAAGACCTCTGACTGACGACAAAAAGGACCAAGGATGGCAGTGGACTTTCATCTGGTGTGCCATCCTCTTCGGTGCACTTCTTCCTTTGGTGTTCTTCTTCGTCCCGGAAACTGCATATAATCGCCCAAATCCTCTGCAGCGACTTGTAGACACCAGAGCGCGACATGAAAAGCCCGATGACGCGGGAAACAAGAACGAAGTGGTGGAATACAAGGAGAATGTAACTCGTTCGCCTGAGAATGGCGAGCAGCTAGCCGAGACGAAAGACCCTTACCTGCGAAGTTTGCGGATGTACCACGGGGTCTACACCCAAACGTCACTGTGGAAGATCTTCCTACGGCCCGTGGTAGTCTTTTGGTATCCAGCGGTGCTGTGGGCGTTTTTATTGTACGGTGCCACGCTGACATGGATTGTCGTCTTCAGCGTCGTCAATGCAGCCATCTTCACAGCGCCACCTTACAACTTCTCCGTGTCCGAGACGGGCCTGATTTCGGTTTCGCCGTTTGTCCTCACATTCATTGGAGAGGTGATTTCGGGCCCTCTGAACGACCGGGTATGTCTGTGGTTGGCGAAGAAAAACCATGGCATTTATGAGCCGGAGTTCAGGTTGGCGACCATTCCTGTGCCTCTACTCATTGGTGTCGTCGGGTTTTATGGCTTCGGAGCCACGATACATTTCCAGACTCATTGGATTGGGCCAGTTTTGTGCTTTGGCCTGGCAAACATGAGCCTTGCCTTTGCCAATGGATGCGTCTTTGGATATGTGATTGACGCCCATAAGGACTTGAGCGAAGAAGGTGAGAACATGTTCGACCGACTGCCACTATTTGGCGAGCACGTGCTAACTCGATGGTGATGTTGGACAGCGTTTGTTGCGATCAACGCCCGAAACTTTTTGACTTTCGGCTTAACCTACTTCGTCAATGATTGGCTTGCAAAGGATGGGGTCCTGGCTGTTTTCAACGTGCTGGGAAGTATATTCGTCGCAGTAAATTTGCTGACAATTCCGCTATGGATATTTGGAAAGAGAATCCGAGGCTTCATTGCTCGAAGTAATAAATTGCAAAAGTTCATGCATGAAGACTAAATTGCTGGGAGGGATGAGAGGCGTCTTGGTGTGACCTCACCCACCAGCGCCTCTGACAACATGACACAGTTTATAACAGAGACAAATGAACAAGATCCAATGTCTATAACTTGCTAGCAACACACACAAGTATAGCTTGATGTGCGCCTTTGCTTCAAGCTACCTGCCATAAGTTAAGGGAGGAAGTAGTTTGATCAAGCCGGAATTTCAATACAACTCAATTGGGAAGTAACTTATGGGACGACGAGTTTTGTCTGTGCGCCACACTCCCACACTTGCGCCTGCCGTTCTTCAAGCTGTCACTTTTCCACAATAGGTTTAGCTCAACACGCCCAACCCCCTGCAGCAGCTCCTGAGCATCGCAGGCCACCGCGTCGTGATTGAGCTTGTCTAAAATGTAGCTAGGCACATTCCAACGCCGACCAACACTTACCAGGCGAGCGTCCGACAATTCCAGAGGCCTCAAGAAAGTACGACCAACAGTTTCTATTTTCTTGAGACTGCAATTGGTCACTCAGGCCGACAACCGCCCCAGTATCCACTTCCGAAGTCGGTTGACAACACACAAACCGATCGAGCTCCCAGCCCAGACCAGGCCAAGAAGGACTTCAGCGAAGACGGGCGCAAAGCACAGAAAGGTACGGAGGATAGAAGTGGTGCTGCCTGACGGCAAAACATCGAAATGGCCGAATCCCTACACAATGCACCCATCGTGTTAGACAACGGCTCCGGCACGATACGAGCAGGCTTCGCAGGAGACGATGTACCAAAATGTCACTTCCCCTCCTTCGTCGGTCGGCCCAAACACCTGAGGGTGCTGGCCGGTGCATTGGAGGGAGAGGTCTTCATAGGGGAGAAGGCGGCGACAGAACTTAGGGGACTATTGAAAATTCGGTATCCTTTGGAACATGGCATTGTCACGGATTGGGACGATATGGAGAAGATATGGGAATACGTGTACAGTGAAGGCTTGAAGACGATGAGTGAAGAGGTGTGTACACAACTGCTACATTCCAGGCCCAAGATCCCGCGGTTTGGCCAGTGCATCTACTGACGACAGCCTTCTTCTAGCACCCTGTTCTCTTGACCGAACCACCCCTCAACCCCCGCGCGAACCGCGACACAGCCGCCCAGATCCTCTTTGAAACCTTCAACGTGCCCGCCCTCTACACCTCGATCCAAGCCGTCCTCTCGCTCTATGCATCCGGGCGCACGACAGGCTGCGTCCTCGACTCAGGCGACGGTGTCTCGCACGCGGTACCTGTCTACGAAGGCTTCGCCATCCCGTCCTCGATGCGGCGCATCGACGTCGCCGGCCGCGACGTCACTGAGTACATGCAGACGCTGCTCCGCAAGAGCGGCTACGTCTTCCACACCTCGGCCGAGAAGGAGGTGGTGCGCCTTATCAAGGAGTCCGTCTCGTACGTGGCCGCCAACCCCAAGCAAGAAGAAAAAGACTGGGCCTCGTCCAAGCTCGATCAGGGACGCGTCGCAGAGTACGTGCTGCCTGATGGCAATAGGCTTAAGATTGGGCAGGAGCGGTTCCGCGCCCCGGAGATCTTGTTCGATCCTGAGATCATTGGGTTGGAGTACCCCGGTATACCGCAGATTGTCACGGATTCAATCAACAGGACGGATTTGGACCTGCGCAAGGCGCTGTTTAGCAACATTGTGCTCAGTGGCGGGAGCACGCTAACAAAGGGCTTTGGTGACAGGCTGTTGAATGAGGTCAAGAAGTTGGCAGTTAAGGATATGCGCATTAAGATCTTTGCGCCGCCGGAGAGAAAGTACTCGACGTGGATTGGTGGTAGTATTCTAGCGGGGTTGAGTACATTCAGAAAGGTACGTGCTTTGTTGTCCGCAAGGTTGGGAGTGAGATGGAGATTGTGCTAATGAGGACGCAGATGTGGGTGAGCATTGACGACTGGCACGAGAACCCGGACATTATCCACACGAAGTTGACGTAGCGAAGTTTTCTGTGGAAGTTTCGCATTGAAGGCACAATGTGTCTTGACCAAAGTCAAGATGCGGGAAAGCAGATGGTTTGGAGAAAATGGCATTCCTCAGCTCATGATACAACATCCTGTGGCCACGTCTCGAAGGACGGTGGAAACAGATCAAAAGGAGCCCGAGTCGGTTTGTGGGGTATGATGTTCTACGGAGTTGGGCAATACGAGGACAGCCGAGTGGGAAAGGATTGCGACACGGCCAATTCAAGAGGTGTCAGCTAGGGGCCGTCTTTACGAATACCAGCCGGCCGATTCATTCTAGTGTACGACCACCACCATAGAGCAGTCATCCGCCTAGAGATGAATGATACCCAAAGAGTTTTAAATATCAATGTATAATTGCCACATGTTACAACATTGAACTGGGTCATGTGGGAGTCTGGATTGATCGAAAAAGTACGACCTACGGTTCAAACGGACAAGCCAATAAGCTCGTCACCACAACATGGGTGCCTAAGAAGAGCTTCAGGTGGTCATTTCGATGAGACTGCTGTCAGGTCCAAGGGGACGGATAGGCGAGACACCAGAAGAAGGCCTGCCCTGGCTGGCTACTCTGGAGCAAACATGGTTACGACCCAAGATCGGCTGGAATGGTGCGGATTGATCGATTCATGCAGATTTACTAGATTGTCAAACAGCTAGCGAGTAATTAAGCATATCACACATCATCCTGCCAATCCTCCTACCCATCATTGCTTCTATCCCATAATGCATCAACTCCCGTACTCGATAACTCAATGAATAAACAACAAATTGCCTCCTTTGTTGGGGGGTATATCCAATCGTTCCATGTCTATTCCACCTAAGTTCACCAGAAACAAACACCTGTGTCGCTACCAAATGCGTTTGGTTCGTAAAAAGTATCCCGCATTTCGAAATGTTCCCCAGACACGTGCTAGCCGGGGAACAAATTCGAATGTCAAAGCCAAGATGAATTCCTTCCTTCTTCGTGCTTTCACTTCGCGTATCGTGGGTATATCCGTTCTTTGTCCCAAAATCATTGAGCTTCTGTTTGCTCTGAGGCCCCAAACCTCCAGATAATAGAATGATAAACTTTTGTTCGGAGTTTTTTTTCGTCCCAGTTCCCGTGGTGTAAAACAACCCCATGCGCCATGCTTGTGTAGATAAAAAGGAGATCTCAAAAAGCCCTCCCAGCTCCATTCCATAAGTGATGATGGGAATGAGAAAACTAGTGGTGGCTGCGCAAGCTGAACCCACTCAACCGACCCATGAACCCGGAGAGAGTGCTTCCCGAGCTGCTAACGCTGCGCTGGCTGACGGCGTCGCTGTCCTTGCCCTTAGGGTTGGAGCTGGTGTTGCCGCCGGCGTCATGGGAAGAGCCGTACACGTTTCCGGCTCCACCACGGCCGACGTGGCCTACGGGCTTCTCGTTAATGTGGCTCTGCACCTTGTACACCTCGTCGAAGGATATCGTGGGACAGTCAGATGATGTGTGGGCATTGCCGGCACCGCCGCGGCCGGAGTAGAATGTCTTGGTCTTGGGCGGCAGGGGCATTGACGTCGTGGTGGGAACGCCGGTGGACGAGGTCGTGACCGGAGCGCGGAAATAGTTGCCGGCACCGCCGCGGCCGTGGTGAGTATATGTGTCCTGCACCACGGTCGGGTGAGGCTCGGTGACGGTGTAGCGAGGCATGTTTGTGGTTGTTTGTTGTGTGATGAGGTTGTTGATAGAAGGCAGTATGTTGACTTCAGGTTCGGTGTAAGTGAGATTCGTGGACCTTGGTCGACTCTTCGATATACTTGATCTTCAAATGCGATGCGAACGTCTCAGGGCAGTTGATGCAATTTTTCAATGACGAAATTGACAGCGTTTGTACATGGGATGGGAGGGAAGAGCTTCATATATCCATCGCGAAGTCCGGAGTGGTTACCTCTTTGGCATCGTAACACGCCTGCCCGGGCTTCCGCCAGGTCCCATGAGCGAACAAACGCCATGGAAAAAGATACGTCACTACGTACTGCTGTAAAAATTTTCTAGACACCGAAACAACAGAAACACCGACCAGACCACGGTACCAGACGGAAAGTGGAGAGTCGCAAGGTGCGCGGATCGTGTTTTCGTGGTCGAATTAGCGATGACTGCATTCTCGGCCGTGGAATTGCGAAAGTTGCACTGAAAATTTGCACTGTTGGCAGGCATCGTTAGGCGCTTAGCAGTTAACGGCAAGTCCATTCAGCTTTCAGTCACCCCAAGTGGAATCCGGGGTTGGCCTGGGCTGGAGCGCGTGATGTACGACAGGCATGGCATTAGCTAGGTATTAGCTAACAAGAAACTCGCGGGTCAATGCGGTGGCATTTTGTTACCAAATCGCACAATCATGGGACCTGCGAACATGGTTCTAGCCAATTTTCTGACCTAACCATTACCCCATAGTTTGCTGGGGCGCTAAGCAGGGATGTAGTCCAATGCAACACGTTTTCGAGTTCTATGTCGTGGAGCCTGGAAGCAGGTACGGGACCAGTTAAATAAGGCGTCGTCCAATCACTGCACACATTCTGACACGTTGATTCGCTGGGATGCGTTGAGATCACCGCCGCGTCTCATTTCGCCATTTCTACCGTGATGGTTACAATGTCTGAGTGTTGGGTTTTCAGGAGGCGAGGAGGCGGTGTCTCTGTGATTGCCCCGGCTAAAGTACATTGATGTGGTGAAACCCGATCATGAGATTGAGTGTCATACAGCACATAGCGTTATCAACATCTCCGCGGTGTTGGGCCTCCTGTAGTTGGCCTCATCCGCCAGACATGTGCACCAGTTGTCCAACAGCAGTGGCAGTGCATGTTCGAAAGGAGCTTCTAACCTAGATGCCGAATCTTGCTCATGGAGTTGATACCAAGATTTTACCAACTGAAACAGGTCGACACTACCCATAGTACAAAACCTTTTTGCTGGGTCCTTGTCAGATTTTTTCCCAGAGCCCACCTTATCGACCATGCCTCGTTAGGCTAGATCAAGATTCTTGGCGATATGCCGTCGCCTTGTAACTTACATAGCGCTCAACATGAACCTACCGCCTCAGATTGAGTTACCAAGCGCATCGTTAAGACAATGTCAAACTGACTTCAACTATCGAACTCATCAACGTGGTCAAGATTTGCCTCGTCCGAAGATCGGATCCCAAGATGTCACACGTGCAATTGGAGGGGCCTCTCCACTACTACATTCGTCACAATCCAGTAAGACAATGCAGACAGCATCTTGAATCAGTACCCTTGGAGTCCGATGACGAATATCTGGGGATGACGAGGGACAGGACTCACGTGGAGAGTAGCTTTCCAAGCGCTAGGGCAAAAGGCGCGCTAAGAATTTTTGCAACAAATTCTCCGTCTCTGAGGCCAGCCGCGGTGAAGAAAACCTGGTCATAGTCAGACGAGATTGTGACTAGATCGCGAGGGCCGACATCGCCGCTTCAGTCGGTCACATCAATCTGGTCACGGGCCACAACCAAGTTTCTATTCGCCTCAAGGTGCAATGCTCATTTGCATCAAGAAACACTCTGACACCAAAATTATTGTACGATAGGCCTAGGCTGTAGAACATAAACGTCTTGCAGTACTGTAGCCAAGTGCATGACGTCGCGGATCAGCCGGGTATTCGTGACTTAAGACACGACGCATTCTTCGTGGAGGCGATGCCTCGATACCCATGGTAGCATGAGAGATAGCAACGCGTCAGCGAATTTATGGAAAGGATGCCTCCCTCAGCAAGGGCAATGGATCTGGGCTCCAAGCACGGAATTTTGTGTGGGGGAAGCCGTCATGGAGCCAGATTTCGGTGTCAGCACCCGCCTCCTCGGGTCTGAGATCATATTCCCAAGTCGTCGATCGTTCCAACAAGCCGAACACACCTTGCCTTCCCAGCAGCTGCTGCGGCCCATGCAGGGGTTTCGCTATATGTGACTAAATCTCAGCCCCACCCAGTACGTCGTCTGGTAGTTCTACGAGCAAGGAGGCATGTCAATCAGCAAACTGGGAAGCTCTCCGTCTTCGCCCGTCGACGTTCAGCCGTGATCATGTCGATGGGGTATTTCTGCAGCAACATAGCACGTGCCGTTGGTAGAAGTTGCTATGCGATGTCGTTGCGCACCAGCGAGGCCGTGTAGGTGAAGTCTTCCTCATTGGTTGTTCGCCGGGCAGAACTGCTTACTACGTACATGGCCGAGCAGGAAGAGCCGGGTGGGGACCGGCTTCGATCACATGGCCTTGACCTTTTCCTGCTGTAACGATCGCGCCGTCGAAGCGAATCGTCACAGAGTTTCTTGCGCAAGTATCTATGTCGGCAGGTTCGGTGCTCGTCACCGGCGCGATCTAGATTATTCAGGATCGACACAGCCTCTGCTTGTCAGATTCGCGGAGGAGAGATGTGACGAAAACCAGTATATCTTCGTAAACGTGGCAAACAGAGGCCATGTGGTGCGAATAATAAACCTTGCCAGGTCTGTGGCCAGCTTTCTTGCGAATACCTTTGAGGCTTCGAGCTCCTTTGCCAGGCCAGAGATTGCCTCTGTTGGTCTGCCGCGTTGGGCGAGAGGGCGTAGATGAAACCGGGCCCTGACAGCGTCAATGATTTCACCACGTGAATTGAGTCGTGATTTCAGGCGTGCTCTTCGGCTCGGCCAAAGATCAACTAGTCATAATTGTAAGTTTTCTTCGCAGTGCAGACGGACTGGGTGGCCTTGGTGTGTTTAAAAGTGCTACCCGCACTAGCGGAGTGGGAAGGTATCCGTAGGGGTAATAAAAGTATAGCTATTACCAAGAAATCCAGGGGCATAGAAAGTTCCACCAGCCAAAGTACTAGGGGCTACATAGGTAGCAGTGTAGATCCGAACTTTTCAATTGGATATCTCTTTATCCCGTTTTTCTGTTCATTTCCCGTTACAAGTGCGTGTATCGTAAAACTAAAATAGCGCCTCGTGTAACCCCGGTCAAAGGCAGTCATCATCTATATGAATATCCTTAATCCGTACATTTACCACTCAAACCAGACATTACAATGACGAACGCATTTCTCTGGGTGCGCTGGGACTGGGTAGCGTTGTGACAGTGGCTGCCTACCTCGGCAAACAACAACTCAATCGATATTGCCCCAGAATCCCCGTCGAACAACCTCCCCAGTCCCGCACATGTCGACACCTGGTAGAGAGTGCGGGCATCAGCTCTGGAAGTAACGGTAGCATCCCAAAAGCATGGGCCATGGCCCAAAAGAGTTATTGGGTTTCCTCTTTCGTCGCCGTCGACTGCTAGCGATAGCACACGGGTCAGTTCTGCCCATGACGGGTTCTCAGGCGATGGATTCAGCAGGTGCTGTCATATATTGGAATGTCGGCTGGTGTAGTTGGTCACTTCGCTGGTAGATAAGTCCCGATTTGAGCCTTGCCCACTTGGGTCGGTGACGAGTCGCGGGTTCGAATCCCGCAGCTGACACACAAGGGGGTTTAGTCAACCCTTACGGCGCGCTGCCCACCTTGTTGACTTCGCCTACCTAGCGATAATAGGGAGATTGGTGCAGTTTAGGATTACGAGCATCCTAGCCAGTCGACCGTCAAGCACTACGTCGGCGGAATATAACTCGACAGCCGGTCCAGAATTCGAATCGTTAATCCGACCCCTTATCGGACCCCCTCTCGCCGCGATTCTTGCGAGCGTCTAGACCACGTTACGGTCTATCCACTTGAGCGTATGGTGGAGATGTATACGCTCGACGAGAACCCCAATTAGCAGATACTACGACTTGTCGCGACAAAAAATAGTCGAGCATCTTCTGCACATCAGCAGCATCCCACCCCTGAGGACGAATTTAAGTGCCACATTACCACGCTTATCGGTAGTTCAGGCAGGGGTTGTAGCACAGACTTAGGGAGGGACAGGAGGTTTAGTAGTCGTTTGGCTACAAGTTTACCTGTATAACCGCCCGACGCGGCTTAAGGGCCCGCTATATCATCTATAGCCCCTTAAGGGAGTACTTGTAGAGGTACCGAGGGTTAACACCTACGGCGTATTTAATATTTTTTTTATATTGGAAATTTCGTGATGGCTCGGTTCGAACGTCCGGTATATTAGCGTCTTACGGCTCGTCTTGCCGGTTGATGAATGGTGGGTTCGATGAATTCATTGTTGAGAGGTCGCCGGATGAGAAGGCGAGAATCACGCATACATCGGTTGAGTGCTCTAACCTACATCCCAGCGCCCAGTTGGAGAGGAATCTGAAGAAGCTGCCCTGGCTTGCTCATAAGGCCCAAGTGGTGAGTACCGAAACCCTTCTGCTTGGCGCGGTACGACAGTTGGGGAAGGCCCAGTCACACTAGATATACTTGATTTAGTAGATATATATTCACTGACACACACATGAGACTCAGTAATCACTCTAACACCAAACCGGGAAACTGGATTCCGTGGGAAGGACAATGATACGCATGCCGTACTCTCAAGGCATACATTTGAAAGAATCCATAATATTACAGGTCGAGAGTAGCATCACCTACGCTCTGCATGACAAGATACGCATTACCCCTCATCACGTTATTCCACCTTTTCATTCCCACCTCGTGTTCCCCAAATCCTCAAGCTTCGTCCCATCAACGAACGGAACCAAGAAAGGGAATGCATCCGGATCCTGCACAATCCTCGAGTACATCTCAGCATGCTCCTCCGGCCCAGCCACACCAGCCGGTCCACCCTGGGCATTCCTCTGGTCCGTGAAGAAGAATCTGCTCACTGTGTAAGTATGTGTTGTCTCTATTCAATTAGAAACATTCGCGAAGGACCCCCCTTCAATACTTACCGAAACCCTCTCTCCCTATACATCTTATCCGCAACCCCCAACCAGTAAGCGCTTGCATTCTTCGCCACCCCCAAGGTGACAAACTGATAAAGCGGCAACAACGTGTTCCACTGTGCATTCCCCGTGAATATGAACTGCTTCTTTTCCCCTCCCCCACCCACTTTCTCCTCTTCACTCCACAGCTTATACGCCTCCCCCGCCGCTACATAAGGCCCCTTGACCTGCAAATTCAAGTCTCGTTGGAACGCGTCGAGCGGGACGGCGAAGATATTGCCTGGTTCGGTACTGGGCGAGAGTAAGGCGGCGTTGAAGACGACGACGCTGGGTGTGCCGCCGAAAGACTCGCGGATGCGGGTGAAGATGCTGCAGTACACGTTGGGGTCAGTTAGGTCGGCTTGGAGGTGTAGAATGTTCTCGGAAGAGGGCTTGGGGGTCGAGCGGGAGACGAGGGCGAGTTTGTATCCCAGGCTTTGGAATTTGGTGGTAAGGGCTGCGCCGACGTTGGAGCCGGCGCCGAGGACGAGGATAATGCGTGCCATATTGAATCAGGTGAATATGGTGGGATCGAGATAAGGTCAGGATCGATATTGGAATTTGTTATGATATTTTCTTCAATGATCTGGAAATGGTGTCTGGGTAGCCTCCGTCCTTTATGCTCTTTGGCTCCCTGAAGGTAGTTTTTGGTGATGCCATTTCACCATGAGAAGATGAGCATATCCAATACGTTTGAACAAACCGCAAATAGGAAAAGGCGAGTAAATCCGGTGATGATTAAGCGCTCTGCATCTCGTGTGCCTAGTTATGCATAGCCTGCCTATCTCCAGCTGCGCGAATCTCGACGAATCCTGCCCAAATAGGCATGGTGAGGTGTGACAGCCAGTGTAGTCGAGCTTCAATCCATACCCTGGTGCGAATCGTGGACGAACTTGCCGATGATACTAGCTACTGCGGTGATGAATTATCAGCAGATCGGACCTAGTGTGACGCATGGTGTATCGGATATCGGAGACGCCACTGGCTGGAGTCTGGTGATCGCTGTGGTAGAAGAATGGGCTGGAGATCTAGAAGAGTGTACTTACAGCTACTTTTACATAATTTCATTTGCTCAGTGACTCCACAGGGGCGAATATAGGTCTTACTAGAAAATGGGGAGGAATCCAACAAGACTGGATTTGAAAGTAGGACATGGGGTGAGGTTCTTCATGTAATGTAACCGCCTACTCACGACATGATCTACATTATGCCAGTATTATGACCACGAGCAACACGATACATCTCTAGTATGTTAACTGCTTATCTTATTGTAGTGGATTATTCGGTTTGTGGTAGCTACTTGGCTAACCACTCAACCACCTATCTCCATGCTCTTCGCTTCCCTCGTCAGTCAACCCATGAACCCGCTTCGAGCCATCAATCAGCACGCTGTACGTAAGACAAAGTTCAAGTGTTGCCGCAGGAAAGTATCAACTTCTTAGTCCAAAACTCTCTCCCGTGTGGTTTACTGTGAGTAGAGCCTCCTTAACTCCCAGCTCAACGTATTCCGGACCTGTCTGGAGGTTTCTTGCTTGGTTCTTGCTGCCGTGTTGTTCCTGGAATTCTGTAACTCCCTGTATGGCTTGGCATCGATTTTTCTTGGCCACTCTCGTTCTTCACGTGGGAAATGCATCGTCATCTGTTGCAATTAACCAGGTGCCATGTCAATATGTAGCGGTACGCCTGGCATACCGGGCCCAGCTATGACACCCTTGGGCCCTTGGAGCGCCCAGACAGCCACTTCATTTCCTCCATTTTTTGCGAATTATTGCCGATCCACTGGTCGAATTCCTCAGCGGCCTTGTATGGGTCGTCGATGTGGTGGAGCAGGTACCACTGTATTGAGCTGGCATGAACCGAATTGCTGAATTTGTAAGCTTGATGAACCAAGACTACGTCTTTTGGAGTTCATAGCTCTCTGGCGTGCGCCACAGGACTTCGTCTTCTCAATTTCGAGATCGGTGGTAATGTCAATCCGCCCGGGCAGCAGATTTTATTGAGGATCATGTTGTCTGTCTACATCTTCACCACCTTAACCTGCGGACATTCTTGCCCGTCATCAACAGTCAAGCCACGCATCCCTAGGAAGCCATATAGACCAAGGTAAGAATGGCTAACTCCGCAACCGAACTAGGATTAATTGAGAACTAACCACTACTAAGTTCGTCATTCCACGGGTAAAGTATTTCAACAATTAGTAGCTTGTGACAACAGTAGAGTAGTAGATTCTCATCTTAGTTCCATGGATGGCTCGCGTGAAAGCCCATGGATCTATAGTAATATTAAAAGATACCGGTACTAGTAGCCACTATATTGTCCGAGGACCATAGGGTGGGAAAAGGGAGAAGAGCTCACAAAGTTCAAAAGTGTGCCATATAAAACAGTATAATTGCTAAAATAGGAAATGGTCTGGGCGCTGAATTTGTTTTGTAGGCTGACAGCAAAGCCGCTTTCGTTACCCACTTCACGGAAGCCAACATACGTATGATCCCGATGCCCTGGCCGCCATAGCGCAAGCGTTCCACTCACCGTCTTCTGCACAACTCGTGCCACGTTAACTGTATACGATCGGGTTGTCGAATATTAGTCGTTAATTTTGAGCCGAGGCTTACCTTGCCCGCCTGGGCCTTCTCATAAGCGGTCATTGTAAGGACTCCCCGGCTGGCTTATATTGAAAAGAGCCTGCTTGAATGGTCTCAAATCAAACGAGGACCACGATCCTGCTTTGAGCGAGGCTCATTTTACCCAGTTACGCACAACTCTAAAGGGATATGTGTGGAGTGTGTCTCATCTGGAATGAGGGCTAAGTGTTGTGGTAAATAATGCCTGCCACCTTGTTGGCACCAAACTGCATACGAGCACCAGCCATGTGTCCCCCTTGTGTGCCATCTCCAGATATTGAAGGCTACCGTACCCAGCTTCAAAGTGCCGCCGTATCCAGTCTTTGATATCACCAGTCATATTCCTGGCCTGTAACAAGCGGTGGTAGAGGTCAACAGCACGCTTGATATCCTTACGGGATACCATGAATATCTTCTCGCCCCCATAATCAAGCGTTAGCATATGCCGTTCTTGGGACGCCATTTCTCGCGGTATTGGCTGTCCTTCAACATCGACGAACCGATTGTGGTCGCAAGGCAGCGGGCAAAACAGCAGAAGCTCATTTCTACCGAATCGCCATCGCTTGTCCGGGAAAGCAGGCTGGGTATTACAGCCTTGAGGAACGCGACCTGCTGGACGTTCTGTCGATTGGGATGACGACACGCCGGATTTGCGAGTCGCTTTCTTTATTCACCAGCAGCCACGGAGTTGGAGGTTAGTTAGGAGCGCGACTGGGCAATGACTTGACAGACAAAAAGAGGATTGGCTCAACGAGCTCGTAGCTGAGAGCAGGACTGAGATTCACTTTTTAATCGCTTCAATTACCTTCGAACCGTTTGACCAGATGGGACAATGATTATTTAAAAACTGAATCAATCTGGATATTTATACCCTTAAACCAAGCATGATGCATCTAGTTGCCTGTTGTTCGCAGAGTGCCACGCGGTAGACTTCCTTCCCTTACGATGTTCTTTGCCCCGCCCTTAAAGGATTATATTATTACCTCACCTGCACTCTGATCCACTTCAAAACACTGTTCAAGTTCCTATGTCCAGCCTGGGAAAGGGGGACAGGCAAAAAAGCTCAATGGAGTCTACATGCCGTGACGGTATCGGCAAAACCAAAACATCGTCGGAGACAGGATTCGAACCTGCGCAGGCGAACCTATATGATATCAGAAGAAATTCGAGTCATACCCTTTAACCAACTCAGGCACTCCGACTTGTTTAGACTTCTGATGGCTTATGTGCATCTATGATGTGTATTGCAAATTTGGTTGGGCAGGATTGGTCGTTGCTGCTGTTTTCTCCGTGACTCACATGAGATAAATGACAAACAGGCTCCCCTACGTCTAGGACGCAGTTATTATCAAACTTATTGAAAGCTATAAAAGAGCATAGGATTGAATGTCTCTTCTAACCAAAAGGAGTAAAAATAGCCATAAGGGCCTCAAGTACAGAAAAATGTGCCTCTTGGCTGCACATTTCGAGACCGCTGATCACGTGTGAACATCACAGTAGCTGATACACTAGAGGATTCGTTCCTGAGGGTGTAACAGTGATTTTGGGGGACAGGATTCAAAATACTGCCAAGTGGATGTTGTAGCCAGAAGCGGGAAAACAGCCGTTGAGAGCCAAAAGACTGTTGCGGTCCGACAGTTATTTATGTCAACTCACTACCTAAGCCTGCTTGTCTCTTACCTTATAGATAAATCACATACAAACGGAAGTGGCTCCTTCCATCCTCTATTGTTATTTTAATCCACAAACGATAATAATCTGAAGTATGTTGGAAGCAAAAGGCTGGCGAAGAAAAAATGCAAATGCACCAGGCTTACATGCCACTTGTATATGAACTGCATTCCGAGGTTTCTATTTTACCTACCGTGCATTACTTCATGGCGACTTCTTATAGTAACTCGAGTCTCAGCTTATGCTGATAGGCGAACTTGATATCATTGTTCAGTTTCCAGCCCGGTGAAGCACGAGTTTCTACCGGCTTGATAGGGATGTCCCACAAGGGTAGATCCGCCCTCGTCCCTTTTCTCTAAATTAACTCGCGGACTGGAAGCTCTTGTTTACATGAAAAACAGCTCCACGAAATAGCAACTTCTCGGAAACCCAGTACAGTGTGCTTGTAACTCCGGTTCGTTGAATTTCTTCAACCATATTCAAGGCAGTATCCAGTCTTCACCATTACACGATGCATCCATCTCCTCGACGAAAGCACTGACGCGGTCCATCATCCATCCAGATACCATTCGCTCCGAAGGTTCATCTTTGTGGCGTCGGTGCCGCTGATGCCCCAGGCTGATCTTCTTAGACGACCTACAGTCTTGACCATCGAGTGAAAACTGCATGCAATCTGACTGGCGCTCGCATATGCCGTGACACTCCGGGAAGGAAGCATTCGATGCCGAGTCCTGCTCGTCCGTCGACACGTTGTCCCAGTCCGCGACTTCGGGCCCAAGTTGGGGAAGTACAAAGTCGCGGAAAACGTCGCTGTGGCGTAGAAGACTATCCTTGTGCTGAAAATTCCACATACGTTAGTTACTTCGAACAATAATGCCCGCGTAAGGAGGAGAAACCCTCACTTCAAGGTTCCATTTCTGCTCAAACTGGTAAAATGCGGCGATATCAGTTGGATCCATAGGATGGTACGAAGTGAAGTAGTAGCACCATATGTGCTTATTGCGTCTGAACGTGTCGTTGAAGTTCATGTTGAAGGGCGTCTCGCTAAAAAGAGTCGGACGAGACCAGGTCAGTCGGACACCTGCATTCGCCAATGCCTTCCCAAGCACGCAGTCGCCGGCCCAGTGTTTGCCGGTGTAGTCATCGTAGAATTCCATCCTCGCCGCGCGATGCTCGACGAGTGCCTTCATGGCCGGGTTCGATATGACGAATCCCGAACCCCCGTAGGCGAAAGTACTGTCCCCTATCCGCATCTCCTGGCCTAGATATAGGGATTTGGAGGCGTCAAACTTGGATAACCATCGTACCAAGTTCCTCCAGTTGAAGAAAGTGTCGCATTCCATGAAAACGAACCACTTAGCCTCGGGTCGTTGGCGATAGGCTTTGTCGGCCATGGGGAGAAACTTCCATTTGTCCAGCCTCCAACCTGGCGAGTCATGACCACTCGGGGTGTTGGGAGCCGTTTCCCATTTATACAATTCTTCGGCCGTGAATGCATCCAGGCCGTTCCTTTGGAGGCGGCGGTAATATTCGAAGTCTGCGTGGCTTACCACGATGTTGGGGTCCATCTCATCCAGGGCGTTCAAAACATGATGACCATCAATTTCTTCTTCCATATCGGACCAGATGCCATAGTGCGGGACGCAACGCAGCGTGGTGTCGAAATGCGGGGGAAGCTTCTTGTGCGCTTCGTTGGCCCCCGTCTTGAGAATGACAAATAGGTCATTAAGCCCCTGCAAAGTGGCACTATCGCAAGAAGACCGCTGAGCTTCGTCGGTGTATAGTGTTTGAAGTTGTAAGAAATCGAAAGGAGCCCGCGAATGGAAGATAGTTTGCAGAACCATCAAGATCAGAATCACGACGCCGACGCGCAGGAACGCCCGTGACCGCTGCCATGGGCGGGAAAACATGGTGATAAGGTAGATTCGGCATCAACAAGGACGGCATTCAATGCTCGGCCATGAAGTAATGAATCGATGGAGAGTGCGACAAAAACACGAGAACGGAAATGGACGAATGGAAGATGCGACAGGATGTCAGGAAAGCGGAACAGCAGGTTTTAATATATAACCACAAAGCTCCTGGCTTCTGGACCATGAAGAAGAGATTGGAAAGAAGGCTCATGGAAGGGTTGACGATTTGGCAACTTAGTAACAGCATGACGCCGGTCCCAAGCTGAGTTCTTCGAGGGAGATACATGTTTGCAGGGAACAAAAAACTCTCTTGTGCTCCAAGTTAGGGGTGCAAGCAAACACGCAAATGGACAGCCAAGGCTCAGCAAGTGGCGGTTACAGGCAAATCAGCTGGCTAGGTTGCAAACTTCACTAATGAGCGAGCTCTAGCCACGGGCCGACTTGTTGCTCAATACGATACTGTGAGATAGACGCGGTGCTGTTGGGAATATGGCCCAATAACTCAGCTTCAGATTGGCTTGGAAGCAAACAATTTCCATGGCTCTCAATTAGCTGGGATTCAGACGCAAACTTCTTTGAATTTAATGCCGGCGATGGAAAGAATATATTTATGAGTTCATGGAGTGGTTATTGTCATGATGACCAACTTTCCCGGTTACACACCTGGATTTCTGTGTTTTCTTTTTCATTTATTCTGCCGCATTCCCTTGCACATCCTATACATACGAGTCGGGTTATATCTTGTCTTATGAAGCGGGGTTGAGTCTAGATCTGTTATAGGCTCTAGAGCTCGTTCCTAAAAATACTTCAGCAGAGTTCAGATGGAACCGTCCAAACGTTTCTATGCTAAAATCAGCAGACATAGAAAACTTTATGTTTGGTCTGATTAGAGTGAAGTTGCTTTCAGAAGATTGAAGGTGAAGGAAGATAAGCAGAGAGAAGAAGAGGCCATAAGAAGGGGAGTGCCGGTTAGTACTCCAATAGGTGCTTCTCGTGATATTAGGCACGGCGGTGAGGATAAGGAGCAAAGCAATCATTTCAGTCGATCCTGTCGATCCTATCGATCCTTTCAATCCCGTAGATTCTGTCGGACCTGATGATCCTGATGATCCTGTTGATTCCGTCGAACCTGTCGATTTCGTAGAGATCATTAAATCCGTCAAACCTGTCTGACCTATGAATCCTGTCGAACTTACCAAATCCACATATTTATGTGAGAGGAAGTCTAGCTTGATGGATAGCTAAGTCAGTAACTTGGAAACCGCGACCCTTCTGAAGATTTTCATTCTCCTATTTCCATGTCCTGGACAAGGTATTCACCTACCGCCTTTTAGTAGGGAGAAGGTTGTAGAATACATAAAGATATTTGAAGAGTTCTATTCTGAATACGGTAACCACAGATCAACTACGACGAAGGCTTCTCTGGATAGGACGGTGTGATTACGACACTCGTTTTATTATTCGAGCTTTCGAAAGGGAGTATACGACGGAGGATAAGTTAGTTATTAATATGAAGGAACACTGGAAGTTCACACCCCATATGCACTCGCATCATTCGCCGACTATGCGTAATAGAGATAACCGATCCCTCAGTCTAACTCGCAAGACTTAGAGTTGTCTATTACATCTAGTCTGATGTAATAGACATCTCCAATGCATCTGCCTCCGATCAAGGTAAGATAGCTGTCGAATATTCGGTTCGATTAGCCGATATGCTAGACTCTATACTAGCTGTAATATCAAATAATGAGACTGCTTCAGACTAAGATTTGGCACCAGCTACAGACTATGAGGAAATTATGTTAGCCAACGAATACTGCTTCGATCAAGTTACCGAAATAGCAGTTATACCTTATACCGTAGAACGTCGAAACCCTGACGGATTACTTTAATGCTCTTGTTCTCGAAGAACCTCGGCTACTGCCTCAGAATTCAGCTGTTCGGATCTATAATACAGCCACGCTCACTTAATTCAAGAGCCCTGATTAGGACAACCCGAAGTATTTGAGATATCCTGTAATTCGAGTTAACTTAGGCGAACACACACAGAATGTTCATATGACAATATACCCTTGAGGAACAGGAAGATCTTCTAGTATCAAAGTGTCAGAGCCACAAGTGTCATCCGAGGCGGGCCGGATTCCACCAGGAAGGAAGCCGTTTGTGGCGGCTAGAGAGCCGTTTGTGGCGAATGAAAGCCGTTGAAGCCGTTTGCAGCGGATAGGAAATCGCTTGGTTGCAGATAAGGAGCCGCTATCCAAGATATTGGCCGAAGTCGGAGGAACACAGACATACGGAAGCAAACATCCAGAATCCAAGAGAGAACCTCGGCTGGCTATAATAAGTAAGGAGTCGAGACGGAGGAAGATAGAGAGGGCAGAGATCAATGAACTACTGTGGACACCCCTACCTGCCATCACCAAGTGACCACCAGTGACCACCAGGTGACCACCAGGGGGACACGCCTATTTCTCCCCTTCACTCTGTACTATCGCCTTCGGTCCAGGCCGTAACCTGACAAAAAAGGACTGCACTTTCGGAGGATTCCCTACAAACTTTGTAAAAACTTCTTACATAGTGTTACTAAATCTCTAATCGACCTACCTTCTTAACTACTCTAGTCTACTTAAAACTATATGGATAGATTCCTTATTCATTCTTTTTTCTCGTCTTATGATTTATGTCCCAGCTAAAACTTCAGAGAAAATAGCTAACTAGAACACTAACCGTCGATCTAAGAGACTCGTAGAGAAGACTCCAAGTAAGGAAAGGGTGAAGTAATATCCAAAGTGCACTTAGATTAGTTCGAGTTAAAGAAACAGACTTGGTAATATAACAGCTACCCCCTCGTTAAGACAGCGATCCGTGTCTAGACTGTCACAGTACTGGCGATTGCATAGCCAGATAGTACTGTATATAGCAGGTAGTCAGATCCCCTTATCAGGGTGAACTGACATTTCTAGACCTTTTGGTCAATGGCTCCAGGGGCTTCTTCCTCACTTGTGATAATTATCTCAGAGATCACGGTGTGCGGGTGTCGGCCCTCGGCCATAGACAAGAGGGTTCGAATCGTGCTCCTGACAGCCCATATGCGAAACAGCCGAAACCACGGACATGCTAGAAGCAAGTTCCAGCGGATGACCGTGCGCGCCAGCGGCAACTACCTCCCAAAGTATGCGGACAAGTGCGGGGTACACGCATGTGATCAGTCGTCTGCTATGTGTGCTGTACTTGGGGGTCTTAATGACTGATACCATATCCCTGTATTGGCATTAGAAATATTCCCATGAGTTCGCATAAACCATGAGGGTTCGCAATGTTTGCATAGCCCCAGCAAAGACCCAACGGGATGACGTCCAAAAAAGGTCAGTGCTAAAACCTTATATCGAATCTCGGAGTCGAGCCTCATAGACGAGGGGATAATTGTTACAGTACTGGCGATTACAGACCCATTGTGACGGGCTCACTGCGAAACTATACAGCTCAACATGGCCAAATACTGTTAATTATCTAACTGAGGAGGAAAGTAAAATATGCGAGTTGTCCCGGGAACACGGACTATGTTTTGTGTGCCCTCGATGGTTCCTTTGGTGGATCCGGACGCACGGTCCTTGCAGCTCCGGATCCCATATCAGGCACAGCCTGTCACACCCATATAGCTTTATATAGCTTTATATAGCAATTAGTCGGACCAAATGTCAGGCTAGCGGCTTCTTCCTCCCTTGTGGCATTTATAATTACAAGTATAGCACGACATACTGGTTTGATTATCCTAGAGACTCCTAGTAATATAATGTCAAGGCCCGAGCGATCCTTAGTAAGTTGTATAAACCTTACTTACCTAGTCACTGTGGAATTGAGCGCTACGGTCATGCCCTAAGCCGAAGGTGGTGTAGCGGCAATTGTAGTCTAGTTCGGTCAGACCCTTTCCCATAGCACAAATAGGAACGCACACAGCCAACAGACAATAAAAAACAGGATCTACGCAGAGTCATCAATAGAGGATTGAATCCCTCAAAGAACCACTTGCTGTTCTTAATTAGGGACATTTCCGACGAAATAAAATATTATCTTAGATATCCGTCAACTGAACGTCTAACCGCATTGACCACCTTTTTGCATGCACCCCCATTTTGCAGGGTCTAACTGAATCAACCTAAATACTTCTGTCAGGGTACGGCTAGGCCGAAGGCAATAGTACAGAGTGATGGGGAGTAACGGGCGTCCCTCCTACGTAGCACCGGGTGGTCACTGGCGGTCTCAGGTAGGGGTGCCCACGGTGATGCATTGATCTCTGCCCTCTCTATCTTCCTCCGTCTCGACTCCTTACTTATAGCCAGCCGAGGTTCTCTCTTGGATTCTGGATGTTTGCTTCCGTATGTCTGTGTTCCTCCGACTTCGGCCAATATCTTGGACAGCGGCTCCTTATCTGCAACCAAGCGATTCCCTATCCGCTGCAAACGGCTTCAACGGCTCTCATTCGCCACAAGCGGCTCTCTAGCCGCCACAAACGGCTTCCTACCTGGTGGAAGCCGGCCCGCCTCGGATGACACTTGTGGCTCTGACAACTCCTTCCCTATCCTACTTCGAGATGGTCCTTATATAGATAGCTAGGCCGCCGCTTGGACCCGGCATAACAGCAGGGTCGGCGATGCCAAGGATCTTGACTCTCGTCATCCCAAAGCTTCACATAGATTGTAATCATGATTCGGGAGTCTTTTGTCCGAAACACCCCTCCGGCGGCCCGCCGGTGTCCTGCGTTCAGTGTCCTGACACCCACTGGTGCCTATGGCATTCTGTTCTCTGACAACTTCGTCCATATTATTTATATACAGAACATACTTAATTTAAGTGTCCGAAGACTTAGATATATTCTTTCGAGCCTTCTTTTTAGGAGGGACCCTTCCTTCGAGAAAAGTATCAATTTCTAA